AGCGGCCCACACATCTCACGGTCGTCCTTCCTTTCAGCACACCCCAGCACCGGAGTACACCAGGGGGTCAGCCGGATCAGGGGTACCCACGTCGAGTACGGCACCACCACGTCCGCAGGTATTCCAAACTCCGCCTTATGTTCACCCCTCGCAGGGAGCATCTGGGTCGGCACACTTCCCTTACATGCCAACGGGGACAACGTGTTGAACACACCAGCATGGGGACTTCATATCACTCCGCGTGCGCCAGAGCAGGGCCACACACAGCACACATGTAAGTCATTTTAAACAATAACACGCTTTAGTTTCTAATTATATGTATCGTTACTAACTACGCCATATTTTTTGGTTTCTCCCCCTTGTACAAACAGACGATGAGTACGGTTCGGCGTCGACGCATCACGGAGTGCCTGCTTACTCCCCTCGCACAGCATTCATTGAGGACTTCTTTTCCACTGATCCTCCCCAGGGGGAAGTAGGGATGGATTACTGGCACGCAGCACCTCAGGTCACACAGCCGACGCAGGAGACGGAGGCCGGTCAGGGGCCAGACGTGACACCACAGCAGGCAGCTAGAGATAGGCACCCCCCTGATAATTTGACATATCCCACTGAGCAGATTAGGCGTAGGAAGAAGGGAGGACCTAGCAAGCGTGCGAAGGGCACTGATCGTCCTTGACTTATCTATTTGTATTAAACTTTTAATCATTTATGTTCTGTCCGTACTATTTGAGAAACACTTTACGATTAACTTAGTACTATCAGTACTATTTCATAAACTTCTTCGGATAATTACTCAGTAGCATACCCTTCGAATGAATCATGACAAATTATCATTCAAATATACAAATAATGAAACTAAATAATTCAAATATTTTAACCAACAAATAAATACTACAATTTCTGACCAAACATTATCAAAACCCTAAATCACATACATATAACATTACAAAAATATTTTCCTTTCTTACACACTAAAATAAATTACATATTATTAAAAAAATAACTTATTACAAATAAATGGAGAACGCGACCCTGTCGAACTGCGGCAGTTCGACGGACATCCTGTCGAACTGCGGCCCAGCCTGTCGAACGGGGGCTGTTCGACAGCCCTGCCTGTCGAACGGGGGCTGTTCGACAGGTCCTGTCGAACGGCAGCCTTCCGATGTCGTCGCCAGTCGCGCTCTGGCCGTTCGATAGGCGCCCTATCGAACTGCACCCGTTCGACAGGGACCTATTTTCACGATTTTCCCCGGTTGACCACTACTTTTGCGATTTTCCATAAAAATAATATTAATTCTCAAAAAAATTCTAGCTTTGGCTGTAGCCATGGACCCATGGTGGTTGTGGTGGCGAGAGCAACGGAGCAAGGAGAGAGCGGAGAGCCGCGGAGAGGGGAGAAGACGTATCACATCAGATCGCCTTGCAAACTGGGCCAAGCCCAGGTTAATCTGAATCGACGGCCAACTCGGGCGCGGCGCGGCAAGGTCAGATGGAGAAGGCCTAATCTTAAGAACAGCGTCCAGGTTTTAGCAGTAAGCTTAAACCCTTAAACTTACTGTTTTAGCAGCAAAGCTGATGAATAATTCGGCCTGTTTAAGGGTTTTTCGAACAAAAGAAAAACAAGAGGAATTTCAAAGGACTTTGACCCTATAAAAAAATTATAATAACATAACAATATAAACCAATCGACCATTAACAGTATGATAGAATAAATATTGATCTAATGGTTAAAGTATATATCGGCTGAAAATCTGATGTCATTAAATCTAAATGACTGGTAATCAATAAAATATTTGCTACATAAGCTAAAACCAACTTATATATAATCCTTATAAGCTAATGCAACACTTAAACAATATCCAGACAACACAACAGCTGAAACCTCAATGCAAGAATAATTGATGCCTACTTACTTAAATAAATCTAATTTACAACCATAAACCCATAGGTCGAACCCAACCGATGCAGCATAAGGTTGATAATTGTCTGATAGATTTAAGCAAAGGAAAACGTACGAATTACCCCCCCCCCCCCCCGAACTATCGCGGTCGTCCGAATTAACCCCCATGAACCACAAAATTGGACATTCTTCACCCCCAACTATGCAAACTGGACGAATTACCCCCCTCGGCCCAATCCGCGGTGGTTTTGGTCTACGTGGCGTACACGTGGCATCCTAGTCAGCGTTTCTTAATTTTAAAAAATGGTGGGACCCGCCTGTCATACTCTCCCACCTCTCTCTCTTCCCCACTTTCCTCTCAATATCTCTCTCTCTTCCCCTCTTCCTCTCAATCTCTATGTCTCAGATGTGGCCGACGCTAGGCGCGGCGGGCATGGTGGAGAGGCGGGCGACGTCCAGCGGCGAGTTGGTGGCCAGCGCTAGGCGCGGCGGGGGCGCCGCGGGCGTGGTGGAGAGGCGGGCGGCGTCCGGCGGCGAGTTGGTGGCCGGCGCTAGGTGCGGCAGGGGCGCGACGGGCGTGGGGGAGAGGCCGGTGGCATCCACTGGCCGGCGGCCGGAAATACACTGCGGGCAGCGGGCGCCGTCGCCCTCGCGCACCAACAGCAGGCGGCGCGTGCCGACCGGACGTGTGCCGCGGCGCGTGGGGGCGGACGGGCGGGGGCGGCGGCGTGCGGGGATGCATGGTGGGTGACGGGCAGCAAGCCGACGGTGGCGGCTTGGCGGCACAACGGCCAGTGCCAAAATCCTCCTCCTCCGGTGCAGGCAGCCGGCTAGGCGACGGACGAGTTGGCCTTAGCCTCCTCCTCCTCCGGTGCCGGCGGCCGGCTAGCCGACGCATGAGCCGGCCATCGCCTCCACCTCATCCTCATCTGCCGGTGCCGGCGGCCGGCTAGGCGACACACGAATCGGCCATCGCCGCGTCGTCCATGGTGTTCCGCCGCACCAACCCAGCATACTCCGCCCGGTTCCTCCATGCCGCGACGCAGGTTTCGGGTGTAGGTACCCGAGGCACGCGCACCACCGCGGCGCGTCCACCCGGGGCACATCTCCTGCGACGCCGGCTTCGGGTACCTCCACACTCCGGCGAGCCCGAACTCCTCCGCGCTCCTCCGCTGCTGCCACGCTCCTCCGCCCCAGCCGCTAGAGTCGTCGGCTCCCCTCGGTCGCCTTACTGTGCCGTCCGCTGCTGTCATGTCATGCCAAGAGAGAGAGAGAGAGAGTGGAGCAGAGAGAGAGGGGGAAAAAGGGGAAGAAGTGTATGACATGTGGGTCCCACAAATATTTTTTTGATAGAGTGCTGACTGGACTGCCACGCGTACGCCACGTAGACCAAAACAGCCCTGGATTGGGTCGAGGGGGTAATTCGTCCGGTTTGCATAGTTGAGGGTGAAGAATGTCCAGTTTTGTGGTTTAGGGGGGTAATTCGGACGACCGCGATAGTTCGGGGGGTAATTCGTACTTTTTCCTTAAGCAAACTGATATGACACCGATCAAACTGGTCATGCATTAAATTAACCAAGACAATAAAACCATCAAAGAGAAAATTAACACAACAGATAAGATCGGCTAACCCTCCGATAAAATATTAGTATGAACCTATCGGCTTAACAAGATTTAGATTATTAATAACAATCTAGTAGGTCGGACCTAACCGTAACCGATGCAGCACGAGATAGTATTATGATAATCAAACATGACCGAGGAAGTCCTAACTAAGCCGATGTGATTATAAACAGTAATGGAAATAAAGATAGAAATGATATACCGGATAGGCAACCCTTGCGTCGACCCAATTAGTATATCGGACCCAACCGAGAAAGTCCTAGCTACGCCAGCGCAAGCGAAGATGATGGAACTCACTTCTTGCCGAAGGTCGAACTCAATCGATGCAGCCCATGCGCGAAAACAAGAACTCGTCGAAATAAAACCTCATGAGATGCGCCGAAAATATATGTATATTGTTCTGTGAAGATAGATTATAGGGATCCCGAGTGTACATATTTATACCCATAGGCCGATCAGAGTTCTAATTGGACACTACTCAAACTTTCCTAAAGAGAAAAAAATATATGCAAGTCTTGATCGTACACTAAAAACATTTTCCTAAAAATAAAAAAAGAAACTAACTAATTCTATATAATTAATAAATAAATTGACATTGTCATATCCTACTTGAAGTCGATCTCTTCTGGATAGACTTCATTTAAATATGAATTTCCTTGCCCAATCCATCAAGAATCTAACTGTTGTCGACTGACAATTTCTATTGGTCCATTCCGGGACTCTGAAGCTGATATTGTCTCTAGACCGATGACAACTTTGAAGCTTACTAAATTTTGGCGTTAACAATGGGTCCGGTCATTGGTGACTTAGCGAGGTGGCCAGGTGGGCCCGGTCAACTTGTTATGTAAGCAGAAATATGAGCCTATACTACCAGACCCGATGTATATGGTTTTGTAAAGATGGGGGAGAAGATTTTTGGTATTGTGGTTTACGGACAGCTATCAAATTCGATGTAAAGTTGAGAGATGACAAGTGGACTTATTCCTAGCGGAGACGATGAATCTGTCGGCCTGTTTACCAGTTCAGGACGTCATGACTTGAGACACACGGTAAACCCATCAATGTGCAGGACTTGCGGACTTGACGAATGGGCTCAGCAGTCGACCGAATCAGCGGGCAGGTGGTCAAGCTTTCCTTCAAATGTATAGCGAGGAAGCATGCATCCAAGCCTGATCCAGTAGGGGTTGCTTAAATTGTAGCAAAAATAAACCTTACCAAATTTTTAGCAATTTGGTAATATTGCTAAAATTTTAATAGGATTTCTTATGTATTTATCAAAGTTTGACAAGAAACTAAATTGATGCACATATTTGACAACTCTGCTAAAAAATGATATGGTTTCAAATGACATCAATCTGAACTAGCCCGTAGTTTTCAGGCTACTCAAATTACCATAGCTCACCTTTGTACAATTGTACTAATACACTCTTGTCCCTATCAATTACCTTCACTATCATATTAATCATTGTAGGTGTTAAGTAGAGCTCTAGAAGTCAAAGTCAACGTGAGTTGCTGTCAACATATGGCTATGAGGCTATCTAGAGGGAGAAACAACACAGCTTTTTCCATAAAGATTTGCAGTTGCTTAAGTCGCCCAAGTCATCAATCTTCAACTAATCGATTTGGACAGTTTGCATCGTAATCTCCACGGCTATCTGAGATTATAAAAGGTTTACCAGGGCAATCATCTACCAGCAAATAGCAATCCAGCGTAGTGGTGTACTAGTGCATAGAAGATTACAATGTCTCAAACCTGAAGCTTGCGGCGAAGGCAGATCATTCTTCCGAGATGAGCTGGCGGTTGCCATGGAGGTCACTGGTTATGATACTAAGTGTATTGCAGCCCATGATTTACATGTCATGCGGCTGCCTTGTGGAGGAAAGGGCCGCCCTGATGGATATTAGGGCTTCTCTGATACAAGCAAACTCTACGTTGGTGCCCCGTTCATGGGGACAGACTGAGGACTGCTGCTCGTGGGAGCGTGTAAGATGTGACAGTAGCAAACGGAGAGTATATCAGCTCAACCTTTCCAGCATGTCGATTGCAGATGACTTTTTCTCCTGGGAATTAAACATCACAGTTTTTTCTGCATTTCGCGACCTTCAGTTCCTAGATTTATCACAGAATAAACTGATTTCACCGAGTTTTGATGGTAATAAGTAATTAGCATCAGTCTATGCGTGCTGGATTTTGGCTTTCATCGTGTCTCTCTAACGTGAACTGTTCCCTCAATCCACAGGATTACTAGGACTCACCAAGCTTCGGTTTCTCTACTTTGGTGGTAACTGGTTCGGAGGGAATTTCCCGTCATCTATTGGGAATTTGGTTTATCTAGAAGTCATTGATTTCAACTCTAACAACATGAACGGACTCTTCCGGTTGCAGGTATATAAATGATCTTTTGCTTCTCATAGTAGAGATTTTTTTACCATTCTTGAGAATGTACCGAGAAGCACCACGTTTTTAGTGTATTTTGTACCTCCTTATGTTAAGCTAAAGATTTCACTAAGTACCTCCTCGATGATAAAATTGATCGTTGAAAAAAACAACTGTTATACTTTGCAGCTTTCGAAAATCTTACAAACTTGCAAGAACTGAATCTGAGCTCGAATAAGTTTGAAGGTAGCATCCCAAAGTCATTGTTTTCACTTCCTCACCTTAAAGTATTAGATCTCTGTGGAAATGACTTCATCAAGGGAGGGTTTCCTGTTCCTCCGGAACCAGTTTTGCTAGAAGTTGTTAATCTCTGCAACACCGCCATGAATGGGACTCTCCCGGCTTCAGGTACATAATTTCTTTTTTACCTCTCTTAGTGCTAAGTAAAGAATTAACATTCCTTGTATGTGCTGGTATTTGAAAGTTCATGCTTTACAGCTTTCGAGAATCTTAGAAACTTGAGAGCACTGAATTTGAGTAAAATGGATTGGAGTTTCAATAAATTCCATGGAGGCCTCCCAGCGTCATTATTTTCACTTCCTCACCTTAAGGTCTTAGATCTCAGTGGGAATTTTTTTGAGGGTGGCATTCCCATTAATTCATCTTCATTCCCAGTCTCACTTGAAGTGTTAAATCTCAATAACAACAACATGAATGGAACTCTTCCAACTGAACAAGGTACAGAAAAATGAGCACTTGCTGATTATCTTAAGTGCAAATAATGTTAGGTAAGATTGTCCATGGAGCTGCTTATTGATGCATATGTTTTTTTGCAGCAATAGAAAATCTTGGGAACCTACGAGAATTGCATTTGAGCCTCAATCGATTCGCTGGGAATATTCCAAGGTCATTATTCTCACTTCCACATATTGAACTATTGGACCTATCAGGAAATCTCTTAGAAGGGCCTATTCCTATAAGTTCATCTTCAAACCTTCCTGCGTTTATCAAGAGCCTACGATTTTCTCATAATAATTTGAGCGGCAAATTTTCTTTCTCTTGGCTGAAGAACCTCACGAAACTTGAGGCGGTAGTCCTGTCAGATAATGCTAATTTAGCTGTTGATGTAAATATTCCTGGATGGGTACCTCAGTTCCAACTGAAAGAACTAGCGCTCTCTGGCTGTGACCTTGACAAGAGCATTATTACAGAACCACATTTTCTACGCACACAACATCATCTGGAGGTACTTGATTTGTCCAATAATAACTTGCCAGGGAGCATGCACGATTGGTTGTTCACCGAGGGAGCAAGACATTATAAGCTAGATCTTGGAAATAACTCGTTAACTGGATCATTGGAGTCAACATGGTATACTCAAAATTTTCTCAAATATATCAACGTATCAATGAACCGTGTTGCAGGTCAACTTCCAGACAATATCAATTCGATATTTCCAAACTTGCTTGTTCTTGATTTTTCAAATAACGAAATTTACGGGCATATACCGATAGAATTGTGTCAGATACGTCAGCTGCGGTATTTAGACCTATCGAATAACAGCATTTCTGGAGAAGTACCAGCTTGCTTATTCACTGACCATGCTGTGTTGGAATCCTTGAAGGTTTCAAAAAACAAGCTTGGTGGACTAATATTTGGTGGAATGGATAATATGTCCGATTCTTTGTCGTATTTGTACCTAGATAGCAACAAATACGAGGGGAGCATACCTCAAAATCTATCAGCTAAGAACTTATTCGTCATGGATTTACATGATAACAAGCTGTCCGGGAAACTTGATATTTCTTTTTGGGATTTGCCTATGTTAGTGGGCCTGAATCTTGCTGACAATACTTTAACCGGTGAAATACAACCCTATTTATGCAACTGGACAAGCATTAGCCTTTTGGATCTATCAAATACAACTTACAGGTCTTTACCAATTGTAGTAGGCACTGCAGGTATTTCCTTACCTCTCTACAACTCTTGTCAGAGATATCCAAATGCCTTTTCAATACATCGAGCTTATAGTATGATATCAGACATAATCGATTCACAGCAACTTGAATTGGGACAGAATAATTTGGAATTGACATACTTTCCTTGGGTGGAAATGATTTTGAAGGGGAAATCTCTCCAGACATATGTAACCTTCAATACTTGAGGATAATTGACTTCTCACACAACAAATTATCGGGCTCGGTACCAGCATGTATTGGTAACATCCTCTTTGGAGATGTGCATGATCATGATATCCTGCAGATCTTTTATGTCGAACCGTTTATCGAGCTGTACGATTCTCACCTGATGAGTACTTACTACTATTACCTATCAGGCTTCGCCTTCTCTACTAAAGGGAGTCTGTATATATACGGTGTCAATTTGTTTGATTTGATGACCGGCATCGACCTATCTGCAAACATGTTTGATGGAGAGATTCCTTGGCAGCTAGGAAATCTCAGCCATATCAAGTCCCTCAATCTGTCCTACAATTTCTTCACTGGCCAAATCCCAGCAACATTTTCTGGTATGAAGGAGATTGAAAGCCTGGATCTGTCTCACAATGATCTGAGTGGACCGATACCTTGGCAGTTAACTCAGTTATCGTCGCTGGGAGCGTTCTCCGTGGCATACAACAACTTATCAGGATGCATACCGAACTATGGTCAGCTGGCCTCGTTCAGCATGGAAAGTTATGTAGGCAACAACAACCTCTATAATACATCACAGGGAAGCTGGTGCTCTCCTAGTGGTCATGTGCCAAAGGAAGATGTGGAGGAGAGATACGACGATCCAGTCCTCTACATTGTCAGTGCTGCCTCGTTCGTGTTGGCGTTCTGTGCCACCGTTGCATTCTCATTTTGCCATTCATACGGCCGATCTGCAATACTCAAAATGTAGTCCACCCAGAAAAGTAGTACTGTATGAGCAATAATATAGCCAAGAGCTTTCTGAAACATCTACCCCTGTATGTAATGTAAAATTGTAAACTATGCTATCCTTTGGTTCAATTTTCTGTTCCATAAAAGGCAGCTATCTGTAGTAGAATAATATTGCACTCTCTCTTTTTTTCAGAATGTATCATATTATCCTGGTTGGCACAGATTAGCCAAGCAATTGCTTGTTACATGTACAACAGATGCAGCTACTGGTTCCTCCTCTTGCTTGTTCTTGACGATCTTTTACCTTTGGTTCCAGAATCTGGCACCATTGGGAGTGGCACCAGCAAACCTCCTTTGAGATCATCAGCATTTTTATTCTTCTCGATCGATTTCTGTAACTTGATGGAAAATTTGAAATCTTTTATCTGCAGAAATTGTATAAGGCATGTTAACTAATGGCCTTTGTACAAGCTCCAGTGTTTTCAAGAGGAAAGAGAGTTTAGCACCTGTTCTTCTAGATCACGAATTGTATCATCTTTCAACTTCAGTTGAGCCCTCTCCCTGTTGAGTGTAGAAGTGTAGATTTATCAGGAAAGAAAAAGGGAAAGTTGTGTATCTTTATGATAGGAACGCAAAACTAGAAATCTAAAAACCAGAATTTTGGGTGCTACATAACCAATTTTTGCCTAACAGAAAAGGACAAGGCTCAAGCAGATTCTTTACAAAGTAGTACATGAAAAAGATATACCCCCCCCCCCCCCAAAAAAAAAAAGGAAAGGAAAAAAAAAGAGCAACCAACACACACAAATTAGCACGATCCAACACCTTTCGCTGTGCCATCTACTTCCATTTTCTGGTGGAAGGGTCAAACATACCTTTCCTCAATTTCTTTTAGTGTTCGACGCCATATATCCTGGTTCTTCGTGAGTTTTTCATTCATCTGCAGGAAAGGCAAAGTACCAAGTCATGTCAAAGAACCACAGCAACTATGCTTGATAATAACTGAAAGGTGCATGATTTGAGATGCTCACATCTGCAAGTTTCTTTTTCTCCAACATTGCATTCTCAATCTTTTGTTGGATTTCTTTACTCTTATCATTTACAGCTTTATCCACTGCATCAGAAATGTGTTGTTCCTTTTCTTTCTTAGCTTCTGACAGCCGAGCCTCATAATACTATGAATATAAGGAAACATAGGCAGATAAATATATCAGATATAAACTGTAATGTAAATTATATGACAAGCTCTGGTAGTACAGATTGTGACATCAAAAGATAAGCACTAATAAGGGATGAACCTCTCTCTGAGTTTCAAGTTGGCTAGCAAGAAGACGGTTGTATTCATCCACAATCTGTTATGAGAAAAGCATATGTGATTTGAGGAACCAGACTGGCAATGAGGTGTCAAAGATTAACTGAAATGAATGAATCTTAAAGCAATTACTGTTTCTGCTTTGCTGCTGAAAATAGCACCACCGATATCTTCCTCATCATTGCAGGAGCAGTTTGCACATTTGTCACCAGAATATTTACACTTTGACTTGAACTTGGAATGCTTCACATCACTTTTGGAGTGATTAAGTCGGTGGACGTAACTGTCACCAACATAATCCCAAACACGTTGAGTTTCCAAATCAAGTGAATAGCAGTGCTGAGTTTCTTTCCAGTGCCTAATTGCATGGCCTTCTTCATACCTGTAATAACAAAGAAATTCACAAACAGTAATCATGCCATTAACTTTCTTTCCTTCAGATTATTAAATACAAAGAGATTCGCAAAATGCTCCAAAAATTCAATTAGCAGAGTAGCATACCTCCCACATCCAACAAAACCACATATTATACAGATCCATAGGTTTCCAGAGGTTTGACAAACAGAACATGTAGGATTCTTAGACTGCTTCTGACAAAACTGGCAAACCTGAAACAGAAATATTATGAATAAAAACAAGTCATGATCAAGAAAGCTTGGTAATGTGAAAAGGCAGTGGAGGATCTTAATACAAGGAAATCAATGGCATATGGTTATAGTGGTGAGTGGTGGCAATAATATATTTGTATTATAGCCATAGGCAGACATTGGCACATCTACAACTCTACGCTCCATAAATCTGGTTAGCGCAATATGTCTTAAGATTCACCGACACGGGTAAACAGGTGCCATAAACATTCAGTGATCTTCAAGAAAAATACAGAAGGTGAACATTCTGCAAATGACCCTGACCTCTGTCCCTGGTTAGTTCCTACTGAGTAGCAAATGTACAATATCATACTTGATAAATGACCACATATTTTATTGGATATTGTTATGGAATTCGATCACACTTGATAAATGGCCACATATTGGGTATTGGTATGGAATTCGAACTACTACGTTAATCAGTGCCATAGAAGATTACTCAAAAATTCAAAATTGGAAGAATATAAATTTAGAGATAATCCATTCTATATTTCTATGCCATTGACAAAGCACAGATTCTGCAATATGTCACAAAGCTCAGTTCTATTATATACCATCGAGCAATTAGTTTTCTTCCTTATATGCCATAGCCGCTAGTCAACCATTAGTCAAACTATGTTAAGAGCAAGTTTAATAGTATAGCCAACTACTAGCTCCAAATCATCTATAGCCAATGTAATAGCTAATTCATACAATAGTTGCTTACTACACTATTAATACCTGATCCCCACCTGTCATACACACATTACGTCTTAGAGTCCGCACTGCTATTGTTTATAGCTGGCTTATAGTCTGCTATTGTACCTGCTCTAAGGGCGAGAATATATCCATTTTACCCCTAGGGTATCATGTGTGCTCATGGATTTCGTTGGTCATGATCCACTATTTTTTCTCATTGATGAAAAATAGGAATCCATTGTGTTTTTATCTTCCAAGATTATTTAATGCAACATGGCATTGGTCATTTTTCCTCCCTTAGCTGCATCTGACTAATGGTTGACTAATGGCAGATAAGGAAGAAAACAAGTTGTTCAATGGTATATTGTAGAACTGAGCCTTGTCGGTGGCATATTGTAGAACCCACGCTTTGTCAATGGCATAGAATGGATTGACTCATAAATTTATATAAAATTGAGGCAAATTCAGTATCATGTAAAAATGTAAGCAGGAAAAGAATCACAGCCATAACAAATGGTTGTTTGTTGCCCTAATTGAGAAATGGTGATTGTCAAAATGATCATTACCGGACAAGATGAATTGACCCACATTGAAACACATGAACACTGGAACGAATGATCACAAGTCGTTGCCATAATTCCGCTGATGTCTTGATCCAATCTTTCTGTTTCATAACATGCATAAGAAGATGGTGAAAAGATGAGAAAAAAAATGATACATTAAAATGTTCAGAAAAACTCTTCCCAATAAACAGAGGAAGTGTGTACCTATGCATACTTGCACAAAGATAGTTAAACAACATAAGTTAATAGATAGACCTGAAAACAAAGGTCTTAACTATAATTATGTAATCCATATTGCCCAAGGAGAAATAACATGGTCCCTAGATTTGACAGAGCTTACTGGTATAGTAGTAGCTTGGAAAAATAGCACCCCAAAGTCAGCTTTTAGAAAGAAAGAAAAAAAACAGTACCGAAATCGATAGGCAATGTATACCTCCAAAAATAAGGTTAACATATATATGGTGAAATATTTGGCAAAGTGTGGATGACTTCCATAGTTTACCACAAAATATTTGGCAAAGTGTGGCATGCCACACATTGTATGGCTAAGAATTTGTTGGCCACAATTGTGGCAAGTTATGGCAAAAAAATAACTCAGTGACAAGTGAGCCAACTTGCTAAAAAATTGTGGCATAACTCACTTGTGGCATGAACCAAACACTAGGCTTAATTGGTCAAACTTGGGTGCCACAACTTTGGCAAATGTTGGCACTCAACCAAACAGCCCCTAAGACACCACAAACATGTGGTGAGTATGTAGCTTCTCAAGTCTCAACTTCACAGGTGTAGTTTCTCAGAAGAGAAGTGGCTAATCTTTTGATCAGAGGGGGCATTGCAAATTGATATCTTCCCAGCCTATGGGGAGGTGATACGAAGCAAAATTGTAGTGGACAAAATTCATATCTGACATTGTTGAATGACCACAAAACAAGGAGAAAAATATAAATAAGCTCACCAATACAGACAGGACATGTTGGGAGCTCAGTGGATCCAACTGGTGGAGTCACCGCAGGCTTGGTTGATGGTGTATATTGGACAGCAACTATAAACAGAACATGGCAAACCTCTACCTACACCATGGAACAAGAAGCGAGCGAGCTTCCCAATTTAGGAGCAATGTTACACATGATCAGCAAACTAGACATACATCCAATCGACAATGTTAGTAACCTCGGATGACGAGAACCTCCAACCGTTGAGGTCCAAGTAGAACCCATCGGCACTCTTCTGATCCTCAAACTCCACGAGCACGCTATACCGGTCCTCCACCCCATCATCCCTACCGACACAACACATATGTAAAACCATAGCTTCCCGGGCAAAGTCGGACACAAATTGCTTCAACGAGAAGGATAATTCACCTGACGACATGGATATCGGAGGCGTGCTCGATGTAAGGGCCGCAGAAGCGGACGAAGTCGTCTGGTGAGACGTGGGTTGGGACGGCGAGCACCAGGAGCCGTGTGCCGCGCCATGGCTGAGATACGCAGGCGATGAGGCATGAGAACACGCGGAAATGAACAAATTAGTAAATAAGATGGTACCAAGGAAGAGAGGTTACCGGGAGTAGGCAGTCGGAGGCGAGCTGCGGGGCGGCGGGTCCGGAGGAGGAGGAGGATGGAGTGGCGGCGACGGCGGAAGCGTAGGAGGCGGTCGACGAGGAGGAGGAGGAGGAGCGGTAGAGGTGTAGGATGCCGCGGGTGTAGTTGATCTTAGGGTTTCGGGCGGGCGAGGCGGAGGTCGCGCCGGGCAGCTCGAGAGGCGCCGTTACGGAGGCGGAGGTGGTGGTGGGGAGAGGGTCGCCGGAGCGCGGGGAGAGGGGGTGAGAGGTGCCGCTGGTTTCGCCGGCGGCGACGGCGGTGGCCGCGGCCGCGGCCGCGTCGTCGGTGAAGTCGACGGACTGGATCAGAAGGCTGAACATGTTTGCTTCCTGGGCTTTTTGGGCCGTTGCTCTTCTTTTTGTAGTTTTAGTCTGTAGACTGTATACTGTAGTAACGCTGCTTGATTTTTTTTCCTCTTTTTTTCTTTGGTAATTAATTATTTTTCTCTTTTTTTTCTTTTGGTGAATTAATGATTGATTTTTTTTTCGTCTTCCGGTGCAATTTCAGCCATTTTTAAGACCTAGTTCAAAATGTGAATGATCAAATGTCTAACAGTGTGCTACCTATCATTTTTTATTTTCTGTACTATTTTTAAAAGAAAACATCTGCACTGCGTCCATGCAACAGGTAACCCGCCTCACATAAAAACACCTAAAAACAACTCACTAAGGATAAAAAGACATCCTGTAAAAAGCCAACCTTTCTCCCACATGAAAACCATCACTACTTGCAACGACGACCTATCACCGTATAAAAAACGCTCCATGAAACATCAAATTGTAGATGACTAAAAAAGTGAAAACGGACCATCACAATCTTACTTAACCAACCTGGTTAGAGTGACTTGCTTGCAACATAAGCAAAAACGATTTCTATGTACTCCCTCCGTTTCACAATATAAATCATTCTAGCATTTTCCACATTTATATTAATGTTAATGAATCTAGATATATATATACATCAATATAAATGTGGGAAATGCTAGAATGACTTACATTATGAAACGGAAGAAGTATAAGTTAACTGGACATGCCCTACTCATAGCTATGTGTAAATTTTGGATTTCCATTGCAACATGTGTGGTCCTTAACTAGTTACATGAAAATGTTGAACAACATATGAATGTTGGAATAAATATTGAGGCTATTTGGTTGATGACCAAATATTACCACACTAAATCTTGGACACGTTATAATTTCTTAAGCTAGTGTTTGATTGAGAGCCACATTTAAACTGAATCCCACTTTATTAGGAATTGATTACATGTTATACTTTTATTTTCTAGCCAAAATTTTTCATAGTCGTTGTCTTTTCATACTCATCGCAAATTAAGTTCATGGCAAAGTTAGCCTTAGATCCAAATGCCAATCATGAAGCCCGATACCGTTCCCGTGAAAGTGGAGCTACGACTTCGCCAAACGCCAATCATGCCGTAGGGTCATCGGAGATAAGTGCTCTACTACACTGCACGGAGGAGATTCGTCAAACTACTCAAACATCATCGCCTGACTCTGACTGATCACCTCAAAATGATGAACAAGCAACCGGTCGTGCGGTTAGATCAGAAACCCCCGAATCTTTGGATTCGCACTCGTAAGCAGATCGTCGACTTCCCGCCAAAAAACACACATCGTCTCCTCCATAGTCCTTTCCCTGCCTCCAATGATCAGCAACAGAGCAATGCTTTTGCTCCCTTTTGCTACACAGTTACACTTGACATCATCCCCCTAATCACCACTGACAACCCTGCCCCACATGGCTGGGACCCACTCGACAGTGAAAATGGTTGGCCAAAGCGTGAGTACGCTTGGGTTTAAGCAGACAACAGTCACGGCTCCACCATAATCTGCCCCCGGCTAATTGCACTAGCCCACTAGCTTTTGGAAGTACTAACCTGCCTCGGAAAACGTGACGAGACAAACGGTGGATTAGATTAGATAAGAAAATGATTAGAGCGAGTATAATACTATGCTATAAGTAAACTGTAAACACATATAGACAAGAGAAAAGAAGAGAGAAGGGAAGCGGGCTATAAATTTGTGCGTACGAGAGATAAAGCCATATATTAATGGTGTAATATATGTTTATAGGTAACTATTATATGTATAAGCTACTTCCAAGCAAGATGAATTGAAGCTTAGGGTTGGTTCAATTTGTTACCATTTTCAACCTTACCAAGTTTTGACATTACCAAATTTTAGTAAAGTTACCAAAATTTTGACAAGGTTAACAAAATTTATCAAGATTTTATATGTAATTACTAAAATTTGACAACAACTAAATGTAGCCAAAATTTTGACAGCTTTGTTAAAAAATTGGTATGGCTGAAATGCGTTAGAGGTTAGTTGAGTTAACCTTGCTCTGGTCCAAGCGAGTCGTAGTAGTTGCCCTTTTGACGCGACACGAACCGCGCGCCACCTGTTGCTTTGTTAGCTCGCGCACGCGCTCGCCACGGCGCGGCTCTCCACTCCAGTCCTCTCACTCTCGTTGAGCTCGGCGAGGCGCGGCGCGCGGGGCGAGGCGGCAATGTTCACCGACGGCATGTCGAGGTTGGCGGTGGGGGTGAGCCTCATGCTGGCGCTCAGCCTCGCGCTGTTCCTCACCATCGCGGTGCTCCTCCTCGCCGACCTCTTCTGCTCCCACCTCCGCAGGCGCTGGATGCGCGCGGAGGAGGGGGAGGCGTTGTCCCGGCGGCGCGCGAAGCTCGGGCTGGCGGGGACGTCGCGCGCCGCCGCGGGCGACGACGACGCGGCGTCGGTGGCGACGACGGCGACCACCACCACCGCGCGCGAGGCGCTGTCGAGCACCCCGCCGTTCTACTACGCGCACGGCGTCATGCAGGCGGCGGCGGACACCAAGGACCTCCTCCTCGCCATCCCCAAGCTGGAGTCCGCCGTGTGGAGGTGGTCGCCGGCCCGGCGCTCGTCGCCGTCCTCCAGCTCCTCCGCCAACAGCGACCGCTTCGTGTGCATCTCCAACCCGGTGTACGAGCGGGGCGCCGCGCCCCCGGCCGACGTTCGTGGGGACACGGACACGCCATTCGAGACGCCCGACGCCTCGCCGTCGCCATTTGGGATCACGGAGGAGGTGGAAGAAGAGGGTGGCGAGTTCTCGCCGCCATTGTCCGTGATGAGGAAGCTGCCGCCATTGGGCGTCGTGGCGTGTCCCCCGCCATCGATGGGTTTCATCGACGGCCGGCCGTCTCTGGGCTTCACCGATGGCCGGCCGTCGCTGACGGCGTGGTCGGGGACGGTCACCGACACCAACCGGGCCTCCTCGTCGTCGTCCAATCTCACCGCTCACTTCTTCTCTTCCTGGTCACCCAAGTGACAGATTGGAGGATTACTTGTAGTATCCATATGGAGTATTGATTTAGCAGTAGTGCAGTGCTTGTTAGCTAGAGCTCGATTGAATTCATTGATTTTCTCTCTTTGATATGTCCGGTCCTTCGATTTGCTGGGTTTTGTTGGTTTAATCTAGCAGGTTTTCTCTAACAATAACTAACTTTGTTTGCCTCATTTGCTCATTTGGTTTGTCATGTTGATGGATAGAATCATCGAAAGTGTTACTCAAAAAATATTTTTGTGGTGCAAACAGAAATGATCGAGCGTAAATCATTTGTCTTAGCCACGCACTTACGCCATGAATAATATAAGCATTTGCAGTTTTTCATCGTTCAAACTTAGTACTACCTTTTTCAGAAGACCGATACCGGAGAGCCGTAAGGTCAAGTGATCAGATTGAGGCTGTTTCAGTTTCAGAGATTGTCCTCAGACCTCAGACAAGTCTGCATTAACTTTGCAAAACAAGGTTCTATTGCCTGAAGAATTGTACTACATATAAACCACAAAAAGCACGCTGTCAATCGGTTCCTAATTAACACAATTTTTTGATCGCAACAGAAAAAGAGGGATCTTGAGGAAGAAGAGTGCCAATGCATATCTCGGGTTCTCCAAAAGGAGGGGGGCGAAGAAGACCATTGCCGCATCGTTGGGAGGCTCTGAAAAGCCGTGGCGTGTAATTATTTTACCCGTATGAAAAAAGCCTGGCCGAACGAGTGAACGTGCAATGCCTTTGGGGCTTTGGCAGCTTGAGTTTTGGTCGCTAGCTTAGCTTCCCCCCGCGGCGCCTGCTCCCATGCTGTTCCTCCTCCTGCGTCCTTGCGCTGTGCCTGTGCGCGCCTGCGCCTGCATGGCTTGGCGCTTTCTCTCCTCTGCTTGGTTTGCTCGTTCGCTCGCTCGCCCTGTCAGTGCAGTGCAGGCACTGTGCTCGCGCAAAGTTGAGAAACGGTGCGACGCGTGCTGGTTCTCGATGCCGTGGAGTACCTGCCTCTGCTCGTTGGTGGGTAACGACAGCGTCGCGTACTCCTCTCCTCTCCTCTCACATGTGTCCGGCAATGGCGGGGTTGACTCATGGCCATGGCGTCACGCGCCAATTTCCCGGACGCGCGAGAGAGGGAGATAGAGAGAGGGCAAGTTGTCCTGGACAACCCACCCAGGCGCACGGCACGATGAGCTGTGAATTGTTGTGATTCCCAGTTGGAACAGGTGCGCGCGGCCAGTTTTCTGTCTCCCGTGGACGGACGGAGGAGGCCGGCGGTCCGGCGAGAGGCGGCCGGCGCCGCCGACAGGGGAAAAGAGGGGCCCCTTCCGGCCGCGGTGCACCCGTTGGATACTTGTTAACCGTTAGATTAGAAATACACGGTCCAGATTGAGATGGACGGCCCAACCCTTTTTCGTTACTGCCTTGTACGAAGAAAGACACGGCTAAGAAAATACATAAATGCTATATACCGGTATACCGTCGGGACGGGATACCCCTCGTCCACCTTTCCCATCCAAAGAGGAACAAGGTTGAGCGCCTGAGCCGTGAGGAGGAGGTGGCCGTCGGCGATTCCGGCGCGGGCTGGGGAAGAAGACCCGCTCGGCAAGAGGAGGGCGCGGCCGCCGGCGACGTGGTCACCGGATTGCCGCCTGGTGCTCCAGCACCGCCACGCGCCATCCACGGCACCGCTGTTAACGCCCACCTACGGCTCCATCCGCATGGCCGGCTGGTGCGTCCTCCGCTGGCGCCCCAACTCCGTCGCCGGCGACATGGTCGCCGAATTGCCGCCTGGAGCTCCAACACCGCCGCTCGCCATCGACGGCGCCGCCGTTAATGCCCACCCCCTGCTCCACCCGCGTGGTCAGCTGGTGCGCCCTCCACCAACGCCCCCTCCGTCACGGGCCCTCTACAGTCGCCGCCTTCATCGCCGGCCGTCGATCCCGAGTCCGGACCTTCATTCTATCCATATGCTGCTTCGGAGGAGCAAAGAGACAAAGATGGGTGCAAAGAGCTTGTTAACTTGGTCATGTCTGGCTGTAGAGTGTGGTAGAATCATCTTCTACGTGGTAAGAATCGGATGATACCTGATAGGTATCATCTTCTATGTTGTAAGAATCGCATAATACCTAATAGTTATTATCTAATACCTCACAAGTATCACCTGATACGTGGTAGAATCGTATGATACCTGGTAGGTATCACCGATACTGGCTAGGTATCAGGACCTGATACATCGCAAGCATCACCCACCATGTGGTAAGAATCGCATGATACTGGTTAGATATTAGGACCTGATACCAACCCAGTATCATCCCATTTTTGAACGAGATACTGGTATATAAAAACCCTCAAAAAATAGTACAATTTGAGTTCCTCAACTATTTTTAGGTTGGATGTGATACGTGTCCTTCAATTGTAAAACTTAGGTATTTAATTACTCTATTAAAATCATGCAAAATGACTCACTCGACTGGTTTTGAGGGTGTTTTGGCTAACATGACGTCTATATGGCAGCCAAATCACCAAGGGAAATAAAAATAGAGAGTGGGATCCAAATGTAACCGAATGGGAAAAATTTAAAATTGTAGGGCCTCTATGTCAGCACCCACTCTTTTTTTCCCCTATGTTCCTTTTCTGTTTGCCGCCTAGTGGTGTAAGGTTGCTAGTGAGCTCTCTCGACTCTGCAACGACTCGTGAGTCTTAGGATGGAAGCTACAAAAGAGGGGAGCTGTTGCTTGTTCCGTCTCTCTTCCTCCCACTCAGAAGGAGCCTTCGAGTCCCGCACCTTGCCATAACGAGGATGGGAGGTGCGACGTGAGGACGAGGAGATGTTCGTGCTAACGGAGCCAATGACACTAGCACTACGGAGTACTTGAGGAAGGAGGAATCTAGATGTGTGTATAAGCAGCGAGGAGTACTCGAGGAAGGAGGAACAAGGAGGAACTCTACACGTCATGGTGCAGTTCGAGGACGGCGCAAGGGTGATCCACTGGTGTCATCTTACATCATCGAGGTTTGCTCAAGATTGTTTGTGTAGCGATGAGATAAAGAGAGAGAGAGGGGGGAAAATCATCGTCAGTACTATCAAGGGAGTTATTTTACACCAGTTTTAATAGTTAGAGGCATTAGTTACCTGGTTTTGCGATTGAGTATATGAATCAGATCCAACCTATATTTGAGGGACTCATATTGAACTTTTTTTCTCGCTATCAATGGTAGCTATCCAAATTAGGCCCATACAAAATGTTACTACCACGCAGATGGCCGGGAGAATTTACTATTTGCCACTCTCTCGAAATGCCAGTGCTCAAATGCCACTCTTCCAAATTTTTATTCCCAAATACCACCGGACCCACATGTCAGCCTCACTCAGCATCGGGTCCCGCATCACTTTCGTTTGAATGGAGAGTGAGACTGACATGTGGGCCCGGATGGCATTTGGGAATGAAAATTTGGGAGAGTGGTATTTGAGCACTGGCATTTGAGAGAGGGGCAAATNGTAAATTTCCNTGCANTATGGCCCGNGCACCATATCNATATCTGTGAAGNCGGNCCATGAGGCTGACCAGCCGAGCCGACCACCATTNGTCGGAACCCTAACCCGCCAAAACCCAAAATCAAAATCGCCATCTCGGCGAAGAAATCCCCAAATCCACCGGCGAAGCCCCACCAAACCGATGGCGTCCCACGCCGCCGTCGTCGAGATCATCGACGACGACGACGACGACGACGACGACGTCGCCGCCGCCTCCACCCCTCCCGCCCTCCACAAGCGCTCCCATGCGGTCGCCGCCGCCGCCCCCGATTCCCCCGACGCCTTCTCCCCTTCCCCTCCAGACCCGAAGCGGCGGCAGCTCGCGGCGTCAACCATCGTGCTCGACGACACCCCCACCCCTCCGAAGCGGCGGCCGCCGCCGGTAGCTGCCGACCGGTCCGCCTCCGTGGTGGCAGATACGCCCCGGTCGTTCGTGCCGTGCTCGCTCCGCAACCGCGCCATTGCTGGTGATACGCCCGATTCTGTTCTCCCGAGCCCGTCGTTCCACCTCGACGCTCCCGATTCCGCGACCCCTGGCTCGGATGTCCCGTGCTCCGTCGGGCTTGACGACATTGTTCCTGAGACCCCGGGCTTCAACTCCCCACGCTTGGCTCGTCCCCCGGCCGTGCCTGGCTTGACGTCTCCTATGACCGCGAGGAAATTTTCTGGTGAAGTTTCTTAACTATTAGATGCATTCCTTTCGAGTTTTCATGAATTCTACCGGCCTAGGTTAAGCTCATTTGGCTTCATCCATTGAATTTGCCGTGTGGCAAAATAGACAAGGATTAGGTCCAGTTCTAGTCATGGAGCGTTGGAGCTTGTAGCTCATTTCTGTGTTCTTTTTCTTGGCCTTTATCATTTATCAATATAGCTATTCTTGGTGATTTATGGCAGGGGTTTCTATACAGTTTTGAGAAAACTTGTTTGCAACATTCTGAATCGATTTGTTGGGTCATTTTGGTTTTAACATCAGGTGGAATCAGACCTAAATCCTAATGATTGCAAACATTTCGATGATTAATCTGTCCTTAATAGTAGTTTGGAATTACCAATAAACAAAGTGTATCTGACTATTCTTTCGAGCATCATTTGTTTCTTTACTCTACTTGATATATGAAGGGTCCTTAAACCTTAAGTTACATGTTGGACCCAAATGACACCTGTCAAAGTTTAGAAAGTGCACAGATTTTTATCAAGAGGAGGAGGCAGAGATTTTTTTTCTTAAAAAAAAACTCCACTAACTATTGCTTTGTTGACGACACAGCATGTCCACTTGTAACTTTTTTTTTGGGTTAAGATTTATCTCCACCCTGCTTTCTTATGTGGGAGGCAACTGAGCGATCACATTGATTAGTAGATGACAGCATGTTTAATATTTATTATGGTTCTTATGTGGAGTAACTCTCTTTCTTTCTATTTTACAGGAGTATCTTGTCCAATATCTCTGGATAGTGATGACGAATTGGATGACACTGTATACAGGGAGTCTTTAACCAGGACGCCAAGCAATATGGCGAAGCCAGAACACGCAATTCAGCCTTGTACTACTTCCTGTACTGATAAAGTTGAGAATACAAAAAGTACAGATAAGAAGGATTATTCAAAATCAAATGTTGGATATCAAACAAACAATTCTGCATGCAAAAATAATGGTAAGAAAAACCTAAAGTGAGGACAGTAAAAATAAAATATTTGACACTCATATGTGTTGTAAAATCCTTTTAGTATATATCTGGTTGTAAACAATGTAGATAACACATTATTGTTTAGTGTATTGACTATGTATGCTTTTGTTAGGAACAACCAGCTACAATCAACCCCCTCGTGCTAATTCTCCTTGTGAAGATTCTACCTTGAAGGAGGCTGATCCTTTTATCAATAACCATTGTCCGCAGGTATGTTAACCTAAGTGGTTTGTAATTTGATCTGTTATAAACGTTGAAGCATATTTTTATATTTTCTAGGCAGAAATGTCATGGAAATGATATTTGACTGAATCAGAAGAATGTATGACCTAGTATGCCGTTAGGCATGTTAAATTACGATTACGCTGTTGGAGATCATATTGTAGTTTTAGGTGTAATTAATTGTTATGTGAGTGGAAATAGCTGAGACTTAAGATTATACAACAAAGATATTGATCAATCCAAAAGACAAAAGTTACACCTTAATAGCTGTATATGTATACTAACAAAAAAGGAGATGTCTTGTTTTTGAAGGAAGAAAATGCCCTACCGATTGAAGAAAGGAAGAAGAAACAACAGGTGTGGCATAAAGAAAATCTTCTTGTTTCAAGTTTCACAAATTATAGGTTTAGCTTTGAAATTCTTGTTCTTGCATGATATAGGAAGAGAAGAGACTAAAGAAGGAAAAGAAAGCCAGAGAAATCGAAGAAAAAAAACAAAAACGACTGGTTTGAAATCTAACAGAAGTGTATTTATTTATTCATGCCATGATCTAGAGATTAACAGAGCATATTGTTTATTTCTAGGAAACCAAAAAGCAAAAGGAAGCTATGAAAGCTGAACTAGCAGAATTGAAGAAGCTGGAGAAAGAAAAAAAGAAGTGGGAATCAGGGAAGTTAGCTACAAAATGTATTGTTGCTGAGATTGACTCAAGTGTTATTGAAAGTGGCTCAGTTGGAGGTGTGTTAAACAAAAGTAAGTTAATTAATACTAGTAATGTTTGTTCATTGTCTCACCTTTCTCCACTGCTCGGATTTCCAAACAGGTCATCTTGTGCAAGGATTTCATGAGAAGGGCCTTTGTTTTCGAGTAACATCTAATTCAATCAAGGGGTCAATTTTATGGAAGATGCAAATTCCTAATGAGTTTACCCAGGTACCGCTTACAGGATAACTTGTTTCCTTTGTTTACCTTTTTCCATTAGAAATTGCATCCCTTTATTGGTTCTTCAAATGTTTTGTTGGCCTCAACCTTATTCTGGCATGCGTACGTTGGTAAAACTTGCGCCTCCAAAGTAAAAGAAAAAAAAATGATATATTTCTACTTAAACGGTTGGTTTCATCCTTATAACCAACGCACAAATGCGTTCCGGGTGTTTTTAAAGAGAGCTGCCTGTGTAATTGAACAGCCAATGCTGCTTCCTCAGGCCCAACTCCTAAAGAAGATACTTTTATTCACATGATAGTTAATCAATCATGTTCAATCAGTGGTTTCGTTGTACCTAGTTAGATGTGGAGTGTTTTCCCAAGCCAATGGCTGCTAACACATTCAGTCAAACTTGATACTTTGTCCATTTTGCTAAATTGGCTGAGTATGTGCAAAGAATATTACCATTATACCATACAGAGGCGATCTGCCACTCTCAGAATGAACAATTACACATCATAGTAAATTTATAATTCTGTTAGCTTATGGGAAAATTGAAAGGGTTAAATTTCAGAAGTATCAACACCAAAATCGTTTTACTGTAGATGAGCATGAATGGTTGCAAAACATGAATGGTTGCAAAATGCATTCACAGTGATGTGGTATCAACCATAAATTCTAGACAGAAAGTTAGAGTTGATCAAAGAATGGGTAGTCAGGTAGAAGGTTCTCTTATAGAATTCATCACCCTTTGCTGCTTTCATGTTTTGCTTTGAAGAAATTAAACCATTTTTATGGGGTGCCAGCCGATAAATCTAGATAAAAAAAATCTCCTATTTGATGTATATATACAGTTCCACAAAAAGTCACGGAAGACTGCGCATTTGACTGGTATCTTCTTGTTTTCTCTGTGTAAATACTGGCGACACAGGAAAAATATCCTAAAGTGCCATACATTTGTGCAGGACCAAGCTTCAACATCACAAGTGCCATATATTCTCTTTGTGCTTCAAGCTGAGGAATTCTGCGATCTTGTAAGTGGTGGTACATTACTGGATCATGTTCAGAAAGTTCGAAGACAGTATCCAGAATTCACAATTTGCTACGTTACTAATAAACTGATGAGCTTCATAAAAAGACGGTTAGTTCCTGGAAGTATGGATTATCTTATATTTACTGTTCTTTTGGTCTGAACTCTGCTTTAAATTCTGATTTTGTGTTCAAATCATGTTGGTTTTTCTTAGTGCATGTAAGTTCAGTGGCAGTCAACATTAGTTTTGTGTGCTAATGTTTCTTAATTGTCATTAGTCTATTTTTGCTTGAACTATACGATCACATAGTTTTGGACTGCTGGTACTTTATGGCTAATGAAAAGCAGCATTTCTGAGAAAAAGCATTGTACTCGCTCCGTTTCACATTATAAGACGTCTTGGCATCTCAATCCATCATCTAGATTCACTAATGTATATATGAACTTGGACACATATGAAGCACATACATGGATCCATGCATGAATCTATTCAAAATCCAAAATGTCTTATAATGTGAAACAGAGGAAGTAATATGTAATATGTTGCACTGTTCACACCATGACAAACACATACGCACAAGACTGGAGAAATATGCATGACTCTCAAGGTTTGGAAGGAAAACATAGTTATGTGAGGTATTGTTTGTGTTTGCCTATCGTCCTGCTAAAATCACCTTCTTTTCATGCCAGTGAGCAGAATCAGTACAACAAGACCACATCAAATTCTAATAGTTGGAAGCGTCCACCAGTGGAAGAGGTCTGTTTGCAACGCTATCAATTTCTGTTCTGAACTACTACTGTATCCTGAAATGTCTCATATTCTTTTAGGCCTTATGCAAATTAGCGACACACTATGCTAGAGTGCGCTCAAGGCACTGCACAGATGAAGCTGAAGTGACAGAGCATATTGTTGGCTTGACATATAGTCTTGCGAATTGCAAGTTCAGGCAAGTTACGTTTGACAATATAAATACTTAACACATTCTTCTGGCCAATATTGTGCCTTTCACGCACATTTGGTGCAGAAATATTTTTGTTGTTTCACTCAATGAACAACCAAGTCCATGTTTTGATACTGTCCCCTGCTGACTGTTCTGCAGGAAACCATTGACATGGTTATCTGTGCATGCTAATGGTTCAAATATTTCTAAAGGTTGCGTTGATAAAGATCGGATTAAGAAAAGTGCCTGGTAAGTTGTGCTTAGAACTGTATACTGAACCAAATTTCCATTTGTTGCTGTATGCTTTGCCTTTTTGTGTCCACTAATTGAAATAATGTTCCTTTCTCTATATACAGTACATTAGATGATTAGAAGAAGCACATTTCACAGTTTTCATCTTGTGTACAAGGTTTACTTGCAGTTTGCAAAGTATGGTGTTGATTCAAGTTCTGAACCAGCATTTCTGAATATTTCTATTTGGTTGTTGCTAAACTGATGATCCTCTATGAAATCTAGCCTAGCCTGTCTAGGTACCTCAGATACATTTAGTATTTGATCTAATTCTTTCCTTTGGTACTTTGGTACAATCAAATCGAATTGTTCAAATCAGAACTGACAGTGTTTGTAATCCAACCTTGTCTATAAATATTTTGTGGCACTTCTTTTCTTTGTAGATGACATCATCTATTCAGCCAACATCGGATATCAGCCAAGCTTGGTTGATGTTGGTTTGCAAGCTATATTTACATTAACGGTTTAGCATGGTGGTTAAGTGATGCTTCTGTGGACCCGTGGATGGAGACCATGCATGGACTTTTGGATTTTCGGATTGTGTGGCCTTTAATTTTTTCTGATTTTATAGTAGAGATGTTCTGACTATGTGCTACCTATTTTAATTGTGACAACTTGATAATTTTGGTCCCCCATACTTTTGACAGTTCTAGCTCCCAACTATGCATTCGAATATAGTGTTCTTGGTTTCTTGACAGTTAATGATTTGTAGAGTGTCACTATGCTAATTCTTCAAATCATCTGTAACAGGCTGAAGTCTTTAGTTGCTATTCCCGGAGTCAGTCCAGGACAAGCTATTGCAATTGAGAAGAAGTACCCGTCCATGAGATCACTACTGAATGTGTATATGGATGACAGTAAATCTGTGAGTGCTGCCCTTTTGACAGGTTCTAAATAAGACTAAAAGCTAGGCATTGGCTTTTCGGTTTTCTTGACAGGTTCTTTGACAGGTTCATGAAAAAGAACATTTGCTTGAAGACTTGAGGTTGGAAGGTCCTCTGGGTGATTTTAAGAGAAGGCTCGGACCAGCATGCTCTAAAAAAGTGTACACAATTCTCATGGCACAAAATGGAGCGGCAGAAGTGGAAGTTGATAGGCGTGGAGCTTAGCTTAGCCTTCCATGCTCACATCGTCCTAAATCATGAAAGGTCGATTTTGTATTTATGGCCCTTTTGTCCATATTGTTTAGATGAAGCTTCAAGGTAGTTAATGTGATGTTCTTGGTGCTGAAGCCATTACTTGTTATGGCTGGCACTTTAATGTGCTCTCTACCCATCGATAAAAATGAAATTATCGTAAACTGAAGACATGACACAACTTCTGCTAGATATCTGGATGATAGGCTGTGATACCCTATTCTGTGTGATAGCAACACGATAGGTCCCAGCAATTTTGCAACTTTTGTAAAGTTCGTGACTATTGAGAAAGGTTCAAGTAAATAGGTTGGTACTGGAACCTAAAAAACATATTGAACGGCACTGCATTTGTGCGTGTCGGCAGTGTAATGTATGGTACCTTAAGGCGCAGCCGTGCACTGTACGATTACTCGCATTAATCAACTGCTTGTGGCTACCGATCTTGATCAGAGTACAACTACAGGTAGCTAGATTTCCAGTAACTTTCGTTCAGAATATGCTTTTTGGCGATTTCATCTATGGTAGTAGTTGGTAGCTGTTTCACTCTATTCTGCAGAATTTGTTGCAGTCGATCAGATTGCCCTGTCCTGAATTTCCACAGAGGCGTGATTCTGCAATGTACCCAAGGATCTATACCGTGCAAGCAAACGTACCACCTCAGCCGAAAGAGGGATAATTCTTCAGAAGAAACGCTTAAAAAATGGAGAAGATAGGATGGAATTGATGCGTGGGAATCACAAGACTGTTCATGAAATCCTGGTCCTGTTGCAACCCAAACGATCTTCCCCATCAGCACATTGCCAATGCCAAATGAAGCCTGATGATTCACCCGTTTCATCATTTTGCCTAGTGAGAAAGGATACAATCTAATCTCTTCATAGAGATGGTTATATTAATCTTTAGGCTGCCGGTGCCTTGCATTTGAAGCCGACATGTGCCTTGGGCAGTGACGCTGTGTTTCAACATGCACAAAAGGATGCCCATAGGCAGATTGTACGCGATTGTCGGAAACCCACTTATCATCACATGCAGCATTTGCAAGATTCATGGCATTGTTGAAACCGCTGGTTTTATGTTTCTTAAGCGCAATGACAAGTGTTTTTTTTATTAATTCGAGTATCTTAGGCAACCCTTTGGTGGACCAACAAAAAATGGGGCCCCAGCCACACCCGTTCTTTGCTTGCTATGATGAGGTCATGATGCAATTTCACAAGGGGAGAAGTTTACATTATCCAAGCACTCTAGCTTGTGATAGACATGGTCCATCCTTAATTATAGTAAGGTAGCTTCACCCATATCAATTTCTTTACTTGTTGGGTGCTTGTTGGTTCTTGATTGGCTGGCTGTGTGCTCAAGGTTCCTTCAAAAGCAGTAAACCCACAATTTATTAGTATACCACGGTAAAAAAACATTATATCATACGAGTTTGGTCTGCTTTTGTCTTCCCTGCCTCTGCGAATAACAACACAGCTAAAGTCATCTTATTTGAACATACATAGTTTGCATGTCACAACAAGGCAAAAGTAAAAGCTAAAGGGGATAAACAAATCCTACGAGAATTGAATATATTCACATGGATACGGCATCATGCACAGGTAGACGCCTAGATGGTAGTGACCGGTGAACATTCTTTACAGGCAATCCTTGGCACATAGCCACATCTCATCTGTGATTCTTGATGATGAGAAGTCATCGTCCCAAAGAAAGGAATCCCCAAGGCATGGCCACTACCTTCACATGACCCTGTAGCCATATCATGCTTGGGCAACAGAGGCAGCAGGTCACACTAGTCACTCACGCACACAACTAGTAGTAGTACCTTCACATGCTTTGCTACTAGTTGTATGACCGTATACCTACTCCGATACAATCGAGTATTCGCTTACGTGGTTTTAAAAGATTTGTGTGGCAGCTATAGGCTATACGGCCCTTAGGCTTTAACATGTCCATGTGCCTTTGCTTTCACCAGGAGAAGACGAGAGGAGAGAGAGCCCCGCATTGCCATGCATTTGTCAGAAGAAAAGAAGGAGAAAGTTACATGAGCCCATGCTATCTGGCTCCGATAGAGGCATACAACCACTGGGTTAAAGGGTAGGGGGCACTTGTATATATTGCTGTTTTGACTGTGATAAATGCCATCGCACACACCAGCTTTCAAATTTATGGACATGTTCTTTCAAACGTCCACAGGTTTGAAATTTGTGGCATATGGTGCCAGTTTTCCAGGGTGTCCCCTCTCCTCCTCCTGGTCATTGTCACGGCCGTCGCCGGGGTCAGTTGGGTCGCTGCCGGCTAAATGACAGGTGAAATGGAATGCAAAAGATGAATTAACAAACATCTGCTGTTGGGTTGGCGACGTAACGTCATGGCACCGATGCGTGCGGTGCCCGTCCCAGCATGTCACGGTGTCTGTCACGCACGCCCGCTGACAAGGAGAGGGGGGGCCGTCACGGCCAGCCCCAAGATTTTGTTTAAGATGACGAGATCCCAGTCGATTGGTCACATGGTCCAGCTCGCTGGATTACTCAGTTTGTAATCAATTCCCCACTAGTAGTAGTAGTAGTAGTCTGAATCAAATCAATTGCCGTGGTATCCTACCTCTCCCAGCGGCTACGTAGTACGTACCGCCGTGTGCCCGTGTCCCCGCGTTGCAACCAACCTAGGAGTAGTAGAGAAAAACGGGGAAAACGCCGCTGCTGGCTGCTGCTTCGGTGTTCCACCGCAAAGCCGAGCGGTGCGAGCGATTTCGCGAGGCGCGCGCGACGCGGGAGGCAAAAGAACGTGAGAAACGCAGCGCGATCGCGTCCCCGCCCGCACGATGGTTGGACGGATGGCGGGGCGGACGCTGTGCGCCAACGCGACGACGGAGCGCGATCACGAGTGAGAGGAGAGGAGAGGCTGCAACTTGCGTAGCGCCTTGATGAATGCGGGGGAGAGGAGGCGTAAACGCGGGGCATGATTGCGGTGATATCTGCGGCGCACCAAGTCTCGTGACGTAATTTATAGCCAGATTTGGTGCACGCCTTGTACCAAAGCACCCCCATTAATCCCACCCCCACTGTCTTCGCCTGTTCCGTGCTGCAAGTACCACCCATTTTCGGGGGTCTACATTAATCACGTGTTTAGTTATCACCCACAAAGCCACAACCAAAATTAAGTAAGCTGTGGCATTTATAAAAGTGTGACGAATAAATTGTTAATCATAAAATGGGGTAAAATTAAATATATGATATAGGGGACATCTATTAAAAATGTGTAACAGGTCATAATATAAACCAAATACACGTCTAGCAAACTGTGACAGCTAAAAATGGGAAGTGGCAAAGTGTTCACAGTAACCAAAGTTTGGTACTAATTTTTCAACTTATAGTTTTTCGCGCATAATTTTCTCGAAGGGTTAAATGATATGTTTTCTAAAAAAAATTATATACTAAAGTTACTTTAAAAATTATATTAATTTATTTTATAAATTTTTAAGCCAATATTTAATTAATCATAATATACAGAGATTAGTTTCCAACCACATTTGCCGACACAGCCTAAGTTAGCACACGGGAGCAGAGCAGAGGACAGAAGAAAACAGGCAGCAGCATCGGGGGACATGAGCCCGTAAGTACGTACAGTGAAAACGCCGGTTCCCAATTAAAATTTTATTACCCATTAGCCCATGACGTGAAGTAACCAGGCAGCCCTTCGCCCGCGTTGGGACAGGCGCGGCGCGGCGCGGCACAGCATCCAGGCCCGGCAGGCAGCAGCATCAGCAGCTCGAGCCGCCCGCTCGCCTGCAAGAGCGCGAGCACATGCCTGCTTTGACACAGCAAAGACAACACCGGAAATTATGATGCTGCTTTGCACCAACGAATCGCGGTTTCCGATGCCACCACCGAGGCGTAGAAAAAACCGGTCTATTCCCCACGAGTCCATCGCGATGGCTATAGCTGATGCGTCCGACGTTTTTGCGCCGGAAAAGAGAGAGAAATCAGCAGGAAACCACGGCAAATTCGCAGGCTCCATCATCATCATCATCCGGCACCGGTGGATGGATGGATGGATCGTGCGCGCACTGTGCGTGGATGAGAGATCGGAACCCAGAAATCCTACTAGTCAATTTGGTTGGCGATGGTCCAAGGAGCAGTGCTGCTGTTGATGCTTATGACTCGGCCGTTTTTTTCTTTCTTCCAGGAGAGCACTAGCATTGTGGCCTGGGAATAAAGGCACTTTGAAGAAGCACCGTTTGCAGGAGATAGTTGGAGTAGTTTTCTCATCGTTTTTTTCTTTATAAATAAATATGTATATACTGCTGATCCGTCTGATGTGTGTGCACGCATTGACTGCTGCTACTTGAGCAAACAAGTGATGGATGCTGCTAGGTGTGGTGATAAAGCTGATTGACTTCAGGTCACACAGAATGGCAAATAAAAAATGGGTCCCTTTCTGAGTTTCCCTTTGCTTTTGTATGCTACGGTTGTTTTCTTTCCTTTCCTCCATAGGTTTGGTCTTGGATTCCCTGAGCTTACAGCAGCAGTAATTGTACAGTTGACCTGATCATCGATCAACCATGGACCATACATGTATTCCAAATGAAACCCATTTCACTCACATATATACCGACCGATCCATGAAACTAGTACAGATGGTCAAAACGTCAAAGGAAAAAAAAGATATCATCTTGATCTACCATGTACGGAGGCACAGATCATACGGCTTGAATTGAGGAGCGTAGTGTACGAATCTTGTTGCAGCGGCGACCTTACAGGGCATTAAAACGCCCGGTAGTCAAAGGCTTTAACAGTCCAGAGATTGAAGAGAGACCAAAATGGCCCCTACCTTTTGCTGTCCATGGTAGGCGCTTGCCAGCTTTTAAGCAGCGTCCATGTCCATGACCAGAGAGCCATGGAGAAAAAGAGAGAGAAAACGCAAACAAAACCTTGCAATGATGGCCATTAGAAAGATGCTTTCGAACAAAACAAAGAAGCCAAAAATATCGTGTGAAGCCATGTAGTACTAGAGTTAACCCTAATCAATTAAAAACGGCTGTGACTAGTAAACTGAAAAGCACAAAAAGTATATTGAGCTGGTCTACAATGTTTATCATGTATGCTTTGCTTGCCTTTCAATGGCGCCAACTTTACATTTGCTGCCTAGCTATCAAGATCAGAGTGCTCTCTCGCCTACTACGACTAATCACCTTCTTTACGTCTCCGTTAGGAAATGGCAGTAGCAACCGTGCTTTCTTTCCTGGCTGTCACATGGCATTTTTCTCATAGTCCTAGCTAGTAGTGTTTTGTGATAATTTGTCTGCATGTTTTTATCAGGGTTAGTTGGCTGGTTGGCTGACCGGTAAACATGCTAGTAGATGCTTGGACGGGTCAATGAAAACTCTCTCCAAATATCGGCTTTTCATTTGTTTGTTATGCCGGCCTAGTGACAATTGAACTTGTGAGAATAATCTATGCAGATGCCTCTGGTTGTGCTTGCCTTGTGATCCTTTGCTTTCAAGAAACTATTTCCGTTGTCATTCACAGCTGTTTAAGCTACTAGTACTAGGAGGTTGGCATGCGCCTTTACAGTTTGTTTTTTCCTCCCAATCTTCACCATTGAGAAGACAAATAGAAAAAACAATTACAGAGACATGCCTCCATATTTGAAAAGGTCCAAGGCTAAAAATAAATTAAGAGAGCGACAAAAAGTAGCACTAATTGGCTTCTAAAAAAGAATACTTTGACAATATTATTTAAGCAACAATTTTGAAAAGAATTTGTCATTTATAATGTAAAATTCACGCAGTCGAAAATAAAAGGAATTTTAAAGGATTATATTTGGATACTTTTTTTCTATATGTGTTCTTCGGAGCAGAGGATTTGAGTGAATTGCTATCCTATGCACCGATTTCATAGAAGATATTACCGTGAGCTCTAACCTCATTGTTTTTACGTTGAGAAGGCAAATGCACTTCCTCTCTTTATCTCTCTTTTAATTCTATAAAAGTTCTTTGGTTATATTCTTTTAACCATCCAAACATAGTATGCCTAAAACTCTCGTGTTTTGAACTCCTGCCTAATCTGCACATACTTAACATTCCGATCTTGTTTTTTTTCCTATTCAGTATTCACACGTTTTTCACATTCCGTGTTCCAAAGGAGCCCTAAGAGCAGGTTTAATAGTATCGCCGGCTACAGGCTATAAATGTGTACCATGTCATCTTATAGCTAGAGAGTACAATAGTAAGCCGTTGACACGTTAAACAAGTAATATCTTTATTAATTTTTTAATCACCTCAATCTCTTTCTTCTTTACCCTTCCCTCTCTCACTCCGCTGCAACACTGACAAAAAGCAATGCACAGGCGCCTAGGAGCTCGTGTGCGCTAGCGACTAATTTACCATCCGCTCGCACCCTCTTTCCACCTTTCTCTCGTCCATGTCATCATCCAATCTGACGTGTAGCTCATATCGCCGGCTCAATCTACCTTATTAAACCTGCTCTAACTGCACTATGTAAAAACAATCCGTTTATTGATTAGATCGATCATATCAGCATGATCTGGTTCATATCAAGAATTGGTGTAAAATAAGCACGCCATTGGAAAAGTGTATTGGACTCCACATGTTGAAATAAGAGTTCATATCAATTACACTTTGTGAATAAATCTAGCAGTCAGATATAATTATAATATTACTGACTAAAGAAGAAATAACTATAACATAATAATTGTTTGCTCCAAAATTTTCAATTTAAAATGATGAATAGTTATAATTGAGACTCCAATCTAGTACAACTTGTATTAATTCTGAATTCCAAAAGTTTCGAACAATGATAAAAAAGATAGTACCTACTATTAATTATTTTTTGAAATATATTAATTTGAAAATTTTGACAGTAATGATATATACAATATAGATCGCATGGATAATTTTGCTAATATTAATCAAATGGAATCATTTTCATTAGTATTTTAATTAAAATTTATAAATAACTTTTTTAAAAAATATGTAGCTTTAATTTAAGAAACACGTACATTTGCACATGGTGGATTACCTGTAGTGCTGCCCTTGCGGTGATAGTGATTAACAGGTGGACCCAATCCCACATATCATCAACGACTATTATAGGTGCAGTGTGTCAACCAAGTCCGAGAATCCCCTCAACTAACTAGCTCTAGCTTCAATCGACCACGTGAAATTGACATCCCATATGTTGAAGCAATTCACATGCTATACTACTAAGAGTAAGAGTAAGAGCAGTTACAATACCAGGCTATTAGTCAACTATAAACATATTTTAATGAGATAAACGATAAGAGATAAGAGCAGCGGCTACAGATCTACAGCTAGCTGCAGCACGGACTTCAAAACACACTATGTGTATGATAGGTGAGACCATATATTAATAGTATAGTAATCAACTATTGTATGAATTGGCTATTACATTGGCTATAGATAAATTAGAGCTAATAGTGGGATGTACTATTAGAGCAGGTACAATAGCAGGCTATAAACCAGCTACAAACATATTTTAAGGATATAAATGAGGAGAGAGAAGGGAAGCGAGCTACAGATTTGTAGCCAGCTGTAGCACGGACTCCAATACACAGTGTGTGTATGACAGGTGGGTCCAGGTACTAATAGTGTAGTATGTAACTATTGTATAAATAAGCTATTAGATTGGCTATAGATAAATTAGAGCTAATAGTTGGCTATACTATTAAACTTGCTTTTAGAATTGCTATAAAGACTCTCTCTAGGCACAAACATGACCACAACACAACACCCACGCTGCGGCATGGGAATTTGTAGTGTTTTGTTTTCCAAGTCAGACCTTGGGTAAATTATTTAATTTTAATAATTTGTAACACATTAATTATATATTAACTAATAATTAGATAATTAATATGTATTGAACCCCAATAATTTTTTTCTGGGTTTACCACTGCGCTGCGACATACGGTCATGTATATGCAAGAACGAAAAAATGAAATGCAAATCCTAGGATACAAAAGAACAGGATTATGCGTATTTCTAACACAGTACTGCGAACGATTCCTGTCGCATTCGCACCTCTAACCCGTTCCGCCCGCTCCTCGGTCTCATTAGATACACTCTGTAATAACTTTAACTCCCCCAAACGATATGCTTTTTTAAAATGTGCTTTGGCTTTTGATGACCCGGATGGAAATTCGCCCACTTTTTTTTTATCTGAACCCAATGAGGAGGTAGTCTGCAGCCGAGGTTCTTTACGCAATTTAGCCCAAAGCAACCATGGTAAAGAGGGTTGCTAAAGATCAGAGAATCCAATCCAAACTGAGATGGAGGAAGAAGAGGGAAAGTAAAGCAAAATGGCATAGCTAGCCGGGCCAAGCGCATTCCAGCCGTATATTCTCCTGCCAAGTACTCCACATAGCACGAGCTCCATCAGTAAAGCGGCAAAGCATTCCAAGCACCCGCAACGACCTATAAAAAAGGCCACACAAACACACAAATGACACAAATAATTTGTTCTCATGGAGAGAAAAAAAATCGCCTCTGAAACAGCCACTGATAATTAGCCTCATCTTTCTCTGCGTGCAGCTGGTCCAATCAGTTGACCGAATGTAAAATTTCAAGCTCGTAATTATTAGTATGGGAAAAAAAACATTTGTGTGGTGTTCTTCTAGGTAAGTGCCGGTGAAAAGGGGAGTTGTTCGTGCAGAGAAATTTTTTTTCTCTTGTTGATAATTTCAGATGATGATTTGTGCATGGACGTAAGCTGGAATGGCGCATGCATGCCGTGCACCGCTTAGGACACGTATCGGCTTTTGACTTCACTCCATCTACATGATGGTGGCACGGTGGGCCCCGAGACGTGCATGTTGTGGCTACGTGAGGTTCGTGACGGCAAAAATTTTCAAATGAATTTTAGGCGATTTTGTGATAATTAGTTGTATTGTGAATGCAAAAAAAAATCAAAGAGGATTTAATTGGGGGATTAATAACCATGTGATTTCTCTCGGCTCAACACGTGTTGGATTGAGGTGCTTGGAAGAACGTTTGCAGATTTTCCGGAGGTGTTAATTATACGTTTTTATTTCGTTTGAGCTGGAAAGAAGCGGAAATGCAGCAAAAAGAAAGGTGGTCTTTGATGCACAGGAGGAACAAACTATATGGCAAAATTCATGTGAACCCTCGTTTTTAAGCGTTCCCATCCGAATATATGCGTGTCAGCCAACATGATAGAGAGAATATTGAAAACACCACACCACAATCAATGGCTTCCTTGCAAGGAAAAGCCTCTTGGTTTAGCATAAACTTAGGGAAAAGATAATGTTTTTGAAGAGAAACCGGCTGTCTTTCAATGACAGTAACACAATTAGGCCAGTCACAATGGCTAGTGTCATTGCACGGCTACCCAAAATATTATACCATCTTCTCTCAAATGAAATCTTTTATGAAACAATCCCCACAGTGGAGGGGTTTCACTTTGACGTTTCCAAGACTAAGCAAAGCATTTAATTGATACAAGTTGCTGGGATCATTTGTACCCAAAATCCGGCGCGGCGCGGGAGAATGCGGAGGTCGCACGGCGGAGGCGGACGCAAGAGATCCGGTGAATGAAACGAATCGGCCTCAACGGGGGTTTCACTCTGTTACCGAGGACTTGGAAACGACGCTGACGAGTTTCACCAGGATGAAACTCTTTCCTTCTCTCTCATCCCCATTTCATGCAAATAATCATTTTTTATTCAGTCTTACCCCTATTAAATGTGCATGACACACCAGTGAAACCCCCATTGTGACTGGCCTTAGTGCTCCTAAAAGAACCAGCTCACAATTTAATAGTACTCCTACAGTTGTACCTCTGGTAACTTATCTGGACAGTGAACAGCTCCCTTTCACAATTACTCATGAAGTGACAAACAACGCAGCCATTTCAATAAGCAGGCATGACACTTGGATTACACCTAGAAATAATCAATGCAAGGATGCTCAACCAAGGAAGAAAAAAAAAAGAGAGCAGGATAATACACTATTCAATGGAGAGGATGAGCATGCAGAGAAAGAGTGCTGCAAAAATCCAAAAGTGGATGGGGGGAGGGAGGTCATGTGAAAGACAACACAACAGTGGCTCTCTGCTCTCTACTAATCTTTGTTTGGCCCTTGTTAAAGGAGATGTTAATTCTAATTCTAATTGGGGAGCATTTAAAGGCTGGGTTTTAGTGGGGGAGGAAGAAAGGGATCCTTCCAACCAAGACCCACAGGAAGAGAGAGAGAGGGAGAGATGAGATGGAGAAATAAATAAATCCAAATTCAGCCAAACTTCTCTCTCTTCCTCCTCTTACATCCTCTCATCACCACCACCACCCCACCTCCTTCTCTCCCTGTCTTTCTCCTTCTCCTCCTCCTTCCTCTCGCTCTCTCCTCCTTGACAAAATTTCCTCCACCCATTCCCTTCTCCACCCACCCTGCCGATCTCTCTGAATTCGGTCGCCTCCTCCGCACCATCTTTCTCTCCTCCTCTCTTCTAGCAATCGGTCGTTTCCTCCGGTTGTTGTGCTGATTCTTCGTTCTTTCTCTCCCTCTCTCTCTCTTTCTTTCTTCCTCTCTCTGCCTTGGAGAGGATCAAGAAACGAAGGGAGGGAGGAGAGGAGAGGAGAAGGGAAATCGAGAAAAGTCTGTTCTTTGGTTTGGCTCGTGTGGTTCTTGAGAGCTGCTGTTTGGAAAATCTCTGCACCTGTTGCTGGTACGGTTTGCTGCATCTCTCTGTGTCTATGTTTTTGTTTAATTTCTCTTGTTCTTTTGATTCTGCATGGTGGCCTGCCATACTCTTTGGTTGGAAATCTATGGTTCCTTTGCAATACATGTCCTTTCTTGTGTTGATTCTTTCGTGGTTCATCCCACGAGATGTTTTCTACAGTCCGGAATGTGTCAAATGCTATTAAACCGTGAAAAATTCGTGTTTTTCTTTTTCATAAACACATTTCTTCAAACTTTGTAAACGGTACGTTTCTCTTTGCTTGGTGTTACGGTGAGAAACAGAGATGACTTGGTGTTCTTGGTTGGTTAAATTCCTCCCTGTGTTGGTTGCCTTTCAATTTCGTCACGAGAAAATCAACCTGTCCCTTGAAACCGTGGATCGCCGCTTCTACCTTTTCTTTCCGTTTGTCTTTTTTACTTAAAACTTCTTTTTTTTTTGCAAACCGAAAAGGAAGGGAATTAAATGCAAATAAAATGAGAGTAGTAGTAGTATATTTTTTGGATTGTCCACAGAGGCAATGGGGCCCATCTTGCATGCAGTCCATCTGTTTAGGTCGCATGCAATGTACAATCACCGTGTCTCACACTCATTAAATTGCATGCATCAGCACAACCTTTGCTTACAACAGCCCAAACCATCAAGTTTGGTGCATCCATATACCTCACCAAATGCGGTTCATGCCAAGATTGCTACAGTAAAATTAGTTAATGCTCTCATCAATGACAGAATGAATTGCTATTCTGTAAAACCCAAACTAGTCTTCCTGCTTCTGGATAGTAACCCTTTTATCAAAAAGAATAACTTTCTGATAGCCGAGTCATGAACAAAAGATTTGTCTGTTCACATTTCTATAGATGTTAATTAGTTAAAGATAGTATATAACAATAGGATTAGACTTGCGTTGTTCAGTAACATAATGACTGAAATTCAGCAGAACCTAGCGTGTGATGAACCGTAGCATTCAACATTCCTTCAATTTGAGACTGTTTGTTTGCTTCTTCTGTACGGGCAATGCTAAGAACATATTTTTTACCCAAAATTCTAATATCTTACAATCTTTCTTACATTTGCAGACCACTTGCTTCAATTGTTGAAAGAGATGAACAGCACCTGAGATGCTATTGCCAGACATCAATTGATAAAGAGCACATCTTCAGTAATGCAAGGACAGAAGAACTCTGTTGAGCAGCTTGCTGATGTGTTTGGATTTGACCATGCATCCAGTTCAGGAAACCCTGTCATGGATCAACAAGGATATTGGAACAACATTCTTGGTTCAGTGGAGTCACATAACCTTCAAGGTTATCAGGTGAACCGTAGTGATGGAACTATTCCCTATGGAAACGGTGTGCATCAAAATGGCACTTTTTTAGGTTTTTGGGAATCAGGCGAAGCAAGTGCAAGTGGCAGTTCACTACATTTTGGGGGCTCTAATGAGATCAAAGCTGAGCAACGTAATATCGGTGGTGGCCTAAGGATTGGTGAAAGGCGCTTGGTAGCTGAGCGCAACCTTTCTTTGGATAATGTTGATATAGGCCTTAACATCAATGGTAATGATCTATCTGGTGAAAATTCAAATGTGAATGGTGCTTCACAAGGCTCTGAACTACATGGTGGCTGCTCTCATACTGGTTCAAATGGTCAAGCCTCTGAGCTGAGATTACATCCATACAGGACATTCATATTAGGTGCAGATCAACCTGAGCCTTTTAATTCTTTGAATGGCAGTGAAAATCCTTTAGGTGATTTTTCCTTGATGCCAGAAGGCATTGATCAGCGACCAGGCAGTTCCCTGGATGGCCGCCGGCTGGCATGCAAGAGGAAAAATATAGAAGGAGTTAATGGGCAGTGCTCGGCAGGTGCTAGCACTAGTTTTTCCCACAGGAACGATAGTATTTTCCATAACATTGCTTCTTCGAGTCATAATCCCTCTCCTAGTACAAATTTACCCTCTCCTAATTGTCTGTTGGTTCCAAGCACTCTTGATGAACAACTCCCGCGTTATGGAGCTACTACAGCTGGATTGTCATCTAGTAGCTATGATCCTAGTGGAGGCAATAACAATTCAGGAGGCTCACAAAGAAGTTTTCGGCCAAGAACTAGCCTGGCTCAACATATTGGCCCCTATGGTGTGTGGCCATCTTCAAGTACTATCAGACATTCCAATTCATGGAATCATCAGCCACCTCCCTTTCAGAGTTCATTTGATGAACCACCGGAGGTAATTCCAGTGGTCAGTAGCCTGAACTTTCAATACCAGCATCCAATGAATGTCGTTCCTGGCATTCCACAGATGTCACACCGGTTCACTGGTCCAGGGGCCTCATCATCAAGAACAGGCAATTTGGAGAACAGAATTATTGGTAGTGAGGAATTTAGCGCGAGGAATGTAGTGGCTACCAGCTTCCCTGATGCAGTTCCTCCGGCCGCACTAGACATGAGGCATTTGATACCAGAACCATCTAGTTGGAATGTAGATGGCAGAGCTACTACCATTCCAGGAAATGTTCCTTCTTCATCGAGAGCTAATACCAATTCGATGGTTAATCCACCAGCAGGCTCTCCATTTATTGCCCATCAAAACTTGCATAGACGTAATCCTCGTAATTTGTCAGAGGTAGCTTTTCGCCTGCTCAGTTCAATATGTTCCATTTTCAAATCGATTTATCTTTTAGTAATCTTCTTGCGTTTTTTTCTTTTATAGGAGATAAGTCGTTTATCTGGAGCTCTTCGTGGCCATCAGCACCCACGCCTAAGGTCCGGTTTTCTGTTAGAACGACAAGGTGATGGTGTTTGGGGTGTTCCGTTGTCAACTAGGAGCAGGGAAGGAAGAAGATTAATTGAGGTATCAATTCTGCTCTCTTTTTTTCCCTTCTCTTGCCTGCCTTGTTTCTGAACTAGGTCAGAAATCAGAATAATGTTATGTTTACATCCGTTTAGTGGACATACAGAAGCATCATTAGGAATAATATTCTGACGATCTTCTAAATCTCATTTCCCCTTTGATCTCACATGCTTCTTCGCATGTCTGCAGCCATCCACCTAATTCTGCGGTGGAAAGATAAACTTTAGTTTCTCACCAATCTGAAAATGTTACGGCAGTTGCTAAATTCCCCCCCCCCCTTACGCACCATCATCTTGTACCTAGTAGTGACACTTAATTTTATTAACTCAACAGAGAGAGAGAGAGAGAGAGAGAGAGAGAGCACATATCTTGTTTTGGTTTTAAATGACACAGTGGATTAATAGTTATAAAATTCAATGGACCGTTTACCTTATGCATGCTACGTTTTGTTTCTAGCCGCATGTTATTCTCTAGAACTATGTGGCTTGGACAGGCAATAACTAGTGAGCCATCCATGTTGGATGCGTCGTTCATTTATTTACTTGTGTAACCATGAAGTCTATGCAAGACAATATGTTTCTTACCTTTTTGCTTGTCACCAGATCCGGAACGCGCTTGAAATGATTCACAGAGGGGAAAATGTAAGATTTGAGGTCAGTAACAACTGTGGTTTCGGAGTTACCTACAGTTGCCTATTTTTATCTGCACGGACTTGTAGAGATTGATGAAACTATATTATGTCCTAAAAACTCACAGCAAGACTGGCTGACTAATACTAGTTGATGCTAGGATTACATAAGGTTTGCTCTGTCCATTCAGTTTGGATGTAGAGGCTGGATTCTAATCCATTTTATAAAAGAGAGATCGCATAAGGTGTTGTTTTGTTTCTGAAAACAGAAGTTTCTTGTAATATGGAAATAGTATATAGTGAATGCATGAAAGACCATAGTATATCTATAATTCAGAAAAATATAGTCATCATTTCAACAGAGAGAAACAAATAGGCAACAACTTGCACTGAACCCTTTTTTGTTTTCTAAAATCTTTGCTTATTTCTTGAGGTATTTACTCTTGCTTCCACGTATATCTGTTCTTGCTACAGTCCATTTTCTATGGTGGAGTCGACATTCATGACAGACACAGGGATATGCGCCTTGACATAGACAACATGTCTTATGAGGTTGGTTTTCCTTAGCACAATATTATCTGGATCTTTCTCCAGCAAAACTCTGATAATTGCTGTTGTCTTCCAGGAGCTATTGGCACTGGAAGAAAGAATAGGCAATGTTAGCACTGGCCTCAGTGAGGAAGAAGTGACAAAGCTCCTAAAGCAAAGGAAATTCTCATCATGGAGGTTGGAAGCATCTGTGGAAGAAGAGCCATGCTGTATCTGCCAGGTATAACTCAGGCCTATCAGAAGCTTGTGACATAGTTTCCTTTGTTTAGTTAACTTGAAATCTAGCAGGTTCAGTGCTTTGTGCATTTAGCTTTGTTAATTGTACGCCATACCTAATAGGTGACATAAGCCTGTGAGTATGTCCATTTTAACTTGAAAAACACTCATCTATCAATAATGTAGCTGTAATTATCAATTAAGTCGGTCAGGCCTGTGAACCACTACCAGTTGGACAACAATGCTCAACTTTTAAAACTTGTAGCTGAAAGTTGAATATGATTTTGTTCAAGATTCCTAGTGCTGCATATACTGACCTACCCAAGCAAATATCTTACCTTGGGATACACTTGAGGAATTGTCTTTGCTCAATATCTTCCTTTTTCTTCATTGTCTTCTTAAATCAATGAAAAGTTTTGGCAATTCTGCAAACTAATAATTCATATTGATGTCTTCTAACTATGTTCGTTCTCGCTGTTTATCCAGGAAGAGTATGTTGATGGGGATGATCTCGGGACACTGGACTGTGGACATGACTTCCATGTTGGATGCGTCAGGCAATGGCTGGTTGTGAAGAACACCTGTCCCATATGCAAAAATACTGCTCTGAAGTCTTAGAAAAAGCACAGGGCAGTAAACACTGTGTGCTTGTTCGATCGCAAGATCGTTTAGTGATTCATATTACCGTGCCGTTTTTTGATTAGAAATTTTTTTTGCCATTGACCTACAAATTTGATTAAAAAAAAAGGTAAAAGAACTGGTCCCTGCAAACTGCCCCCTCCTGCAGTAAATAATCCCTGGAATCTGTCGCTCTGCATTCAACTGAATATTTATGGCTGGTATATTGGATGATGGCTCAATATTTTTTTCACTGTCTGTGCCCTGTTAATCCTGCCTTATCTGCTACGCATGCTACTACCATGTGCCAACCAACCTGGTACTACTGTTTTGCAGTAATTCATGTTTCCTCTCTGCCTGATCGATCCAATGCGTTTTTGTTCGTTGCACCTTGTATCTGTTTCTTGTCGGCCACAGACGCCCGCGGCGCGAAAAGCCGGCACGCAATTGCCGACGTCGCCGTCGCCGGCCAAACTCCCCCCCGGCCTCTTTTGGAGCCTTTTCCCTCTCATCCGCCCACACGCCGACGTCCCCGCCGCGGCATCGCGACCGGCAAACGCAGGGGTTGGTGACTTGGTGTTGGTGGCACGCGCGCGACGCCACAGAAAGCGGCAAAAAAACACGCACGTCGCGGCGCGGCCACCGGTCGCTGTAGCTGGTATTCCCACCGGCAGGGTATCGTCTCCGCTCCACTCATCTACTGCTCGCGACTCGACTGCTTTGTGCTAGCCCTCACTTGCTGCTAATGCTACTAGTAGTAGTAGCTAGCTAGATAGGGCCCTGATTTGGAACTGCATGTTTAGATTCGCCGTCAAGCTCAGCGAATTGGACGCTAGCAGCGGCCGGACACGTTAGAACTCGATTCCATGCCCCATCACGATTTGTGCACAAGCACAACACGGACACAATCATCGTTAGATACGGATTCCTTCCTCCGACTCCTGTACTTTCACAAGAAAGTTTTTCGCGCGCTCATTACAACGTGTTATGGGCCTTGTTGATTCGAGGCTGGGCTGCGGTTGGCAGAGGTTGATCGATCGAAACGGGCCCAGTTTGGAGGGGAGGGGGGAGCCGTGGGAGCCGTGTGATCGGCTACAGACGATGCGGATGCAGCCAGATGATTTGGGGTGCGGCTGGTCGGGTGCGCGCCCCCAAACGGGGGGCCCTTTTTTCGTGGGAGGAGCAGCACACAAGCGGATGTGTCATGGCGTGCTGGTTTCGTGGGTGGCTTGTTGGGTCCGATCGGTAGGGCGCCCAAAAAGGCCAGAAAAGGTAGCGAGTCGGCAGGCAACGTCGCCTTCCCTTTCAGCAATCGCAAACTACACCGCCGAGGCCCCTCCCTTTGGCCTTTGTAGTACAGGCGAGCTTCGGTCTGGCTGAGTCTGGCTACAACAAATCTCAAAGAACAGTAACAACATCCTGGAGAGCTAGTTGATGACAATTGATGAATGGATCGCTGGAAAAGGGTCAGATTGTGGTACAAATAGTAACAAAATGTAGTACTCTCTTAAGGAGAAAACAGTGTTTTGTCCATTCGAAAATTTAATCGAGTTTTGAGGGAATTAACGGGCGAGAGAGGACGAGTTTGATGCAAAAGTTAGTTCCACAACAATTGGGGAGGTAGAACAGTGGAGGGGTGGGGGCGGCCGGCACGCACTGTCTGTACGTACGAAAAAAAATTGCACTGCTGTCGCCTCTGCATGCGTCTGCAGCTAGCCCGTGTTTTGCATTACTACCATCATGTGCTGATGGTCCAGCAAAATTTACTGCCGCGGCGTAAGTACATACTACATGGGTTGTTCTTGTTCACCCATCGTTGATATGATGCAGCCCAGAGGATTCATAACCTGCCACGCCGAGTCCGAATCAATCCATTCGATTTCCGGCACGAACAGCCATTGTTTCGCAATAGAAGGTCGGTTGTAGGAGTACTTGAAGCTCATGCAAAATATGAGAAAACGTAGTACACGCCACTGCAATCATGACCAATCACGACGACGTTTTTCCAATGTGGTGGCCGGCCAGGCTAACAACCATCGATCCCCATGCAAATATGCAACGCGAGTACGCGACGCATACTTTCAATGGCAGGCACAGGCAGGAAGGCGGACACTCCTGCCGAGTTAGTTGTACTACGGGCTCCTGCCATTGGACACCGACCTGATTGCTACCTCCCCCATGATAGTACTAGTGGTAATGTGGTAAGCTCATAATTGGTGATTAGATTAGCCAAAAGACATGGCTCACCACCACTACGCCGTCCACTGATCCCATGCATGATTGCGTTTTTGCACGTTCACACACACGCATTACAGGCAGATGCTTAACTGTGAGAGTGATTAACGATGTGGGTGGCTGGCTGCCTAACCTAACGCGCGCCGGCCGGGGTTTGCTCACCAACAGACAACTGGATTAAGGGGTGAGGCAGATGAGCAACTGGATCAAGCTTGGCAAATTGTATATACTCCCTGTACTGTGTGTGCGACGACGCAACCAAAGAAGAATTAAAGGGGGAAGGACGGATTAATTAATCGCTGCTTATCTAGTCGATAATAACACGGAGAAGAGAGAGAGGAAAAAAAAACAGAGAGGATGACTTGTTTTATCACTGTTACAGCTGTCTTTTTTGACATTTGGAAAGACCGCCACTTGTGGCGTCCTCCTCCCCCGTCTCCACCGCCCTCCTCCCGACGCTGCCCTTCCCTTGTTCTTATCCAAAACCGCATCGAAAAATCTCGCCACGAAGCCGCCGCCGCCGCCGCCGAGGTGGAGATGAGGGGTGGACGAATAGGTGGTAGGTGGATGGATGCAGCGAGCGTACGTGGTGGAGGTGATCATACGCTGGCTGCATGTTGACGAAGCCGTTGATCGATCTTGCCGCGCGGAGGCGGTTTTGTTGGCTTCTACTCGGCGTCGGAGTTCTCCGGGCTTGGCGCCTGGTTGAGATCCGGGTTCTTGGCGCGGCCGCTCCACGCCGTCCGCTGGTGCTTCTGCTCGTGGTGGTGGTGTTGCTCCTCGCCGTGCGGCTGCAGGTGCGGGTGGTGGTGGTGGTGGTGGTGGTGGTGCTTCTGCCGCTCGCGGTGGTGGGTCGTCGGCGCGACCATCATGCCGGTCTGGAGCGCGTCGACGCGGGAGCCGACCTCGATGGCCTTCTTCCGGATCGAGGCCGCGGACAGCGTGCCGCCGTCGGGCTCGCGGGGCTCGCTCGCGCCGCCGCCCTCGGACAGCGACGCCAGCGAGGAGATCTCCTCGGGGAAGTTGAGCCGCGCCGACCGCCCGCGGAGGTAGAACACCGCCGTGTCGTAGGCGCGCGCCGCCGCCACGGGCGTCGCGTACGACCCCAGCCAGATGCGCGTCCGCTTGTGCGGCTCCCGGATCTCCGCCACCCACTTGCCCCACTTCCGCATCCGCACGCCACGGTACTGCCGCCTCGGCTGCTGCTGCTGCAGCGGCAGCACCGCCGCCGCCGCCGCCTGCTCCTCCTTGGCAGCAACCGCCGCCGCAGCCGCGGCGAGAGGAGCCATAGCCGCAGCCGCCGCCGCCGCAGCAGCAGCAGCAGAAGCAGCCGAGTCCTCGCTGGAGGAGCGGTGGTACTCGCCCTGCATGAGCGAAGCGCGCCGCCGCCGCAGCCGCCCTCTTCTCTCTCTCTCTCTCTCTCTCTCTCTGCCCTCTCCTGTGCAAGCAGCAGTAGCTTTTGGCGTTGGTTGGGCGGCTTCTTCTTCTCTTCTCTTTTCTTTCTCGCTATCTATTTGATGGGTGGTATTTGTATTGGGATTTTGTGGGTGGGGGGTGGTATGATTAGAGTTTGGTTGCGATAATGATAAAATAGCTCGGGAGGAAGACGTCGACGGCAGCACTGTACTGTGCTGTTTGGAGGGGAGCCTGAGCTGAGCGAGCGGCAGCGTAATTTGTTAGGTCCACCGGCTAACTTGCATCCGGACATCGTATAGGTCGACGACCACCGTCTTGGAGTACAACCACCCGTGCAAAAAGCAGCATTTCGGAACAGTATACTGCAGGCGGCATCGATCAACCTATGAATCTGCCTTTCGCCGAGTCCCCGGCCTCTCTATGTACTACTAATGTACTTCCTTCTCGATGCCTCACTTAACATATACTTAAAAAAAGTTTAATTTGAAAAGTTTCTGAAAGAAATTAAAATTATAGTTGGATTTCAAACGGTAATAACAATATAGATTAAAATCAATGTAAAACTAAGTTAATTAGGGTGGAATAATGATATTAGAGTTTCAAAGATGTATATATGGAACTTCTTCCTTCTATCTATAAGTATCTATAAGAGTTATACATATTACTTTTATCATCAAGAGAAAAGAGAAGTTATATTATCTTACATGTAAAAAATATCAAGGAGTATGTTCATGCATAGAATCAATGAGTATTAAGAAAACTCATCAGATTCTGATTAAATATTTAATTTGTCTCTTTATTTAAATTTTAAATACATGAAAACAACAAATAAGATTAACTTATTTGAAAAAGAAAATCAAAATATAGAATAAATCTAACATCTATAAAAGGTGGGAGTATGATCGAACTCTGTCATCAAATATCATGGTGTTTATTTCTTTATGATGTTGTCATCATTCATATCACAGTATCTATATATATAACTACTCAACACACGGAGGTTTGAGATACTAATTTATTTCTTTCCGTAAAAAAAAGATAAGATATTAGTTATGTTATTTTGCAATTTGTCGGTGACATGGGACCGGGAGTATCATGACTAGAGGCTTGAGGCAGACACAATCGCCCACGTGGCCTGGCACCGTCAGGGGGCGTCGGGCCCGAGGGTGATGTGTTCGCCCTCCTCTTTACCGGGAGTATCATGACTTAGAGACTTGAGGCAGACACGATCACCCACGTGGCCTAACTCCCTTGGGGGGGGGGGGGGTCGGGCCCGAGGGTGATACGGCCGCCCTTCTCTTTGTCTCCCCAAGGGGTCGGACCGCTCCCGTCTCGGCCCCGAGGGCCGAAGCGCCCCGACCCCTTGTGGGCTTTGCGCCACGTATATGGGGTAGGTGAGCATGGCAGGGCTCACCTAACCACATTTATTGCAGTTTTGACGAGCGCGTCACGCCGCCTGTATCGCAGTACAGCACGCTCGTTTATCCGGTCTGTGACCAGTCACAGACCGGTCAGATCGCGGGTTAGGTGGCGACAGGCGATCTGACGCACGCCTCGCCCCGTCCCGTCAGGACGAGGGCTTCTAGGCGCTCGTCCCCAGCTGGAGCTAGCGTGTTACCTCCCAGAGATGGCACGTTAGTCCTGGTCAGATATATGCCAGGCTTCATCCTAACCATTACAGGCAAGATGTTGTGTGAAGAAGGGCGAACATGTAGATTGCTAAGCTGACACGTGGTGGACAAGAATGACCGACGTGACTGGTCTGACACCGGTCATGTCGTCAGCAGACAGCCACGATTCCACGTCGCATCTGCTCCCGGCGAAAGTGGAGGTAGTTGTGGGCCGTCCCATCAGAAGGTGACTCGGACGGCAACTATACAAATCTCCGTCCATTTATGAAAAGGGGGGGTAAGTCCCCACACAAAAAAAGAGGGAAATGGTGCAAGTGGTATCCCCTTAAGATATAAAAGGAGGACCTTGCCCACTTAGAGGGGGATTGGACTTTTCCAGATTGGGAACCTAGAACGAGGGAGAGGCTGGCTCATACTTTGTAGTTCCTTCATACACAAATCCACCAAAACACAGGAGTAGGGTATTACGCTTCTGAGCGGCCCGAACCTGTATACATCGCCGGCGTCTTGTGTGCTTCCTGTCTCGCGAACCTTCCACAGATTGGGAGCTTAGAGTCTCACCCAGAGTCCCCGGCCGAACCGGCAAAGGGGGGCCAGCGCGGTCTCCCGGTGAGGAGCCCCACGCTCCGTCATCTGGCGCGCCAGGTAGGGGGCTCTGCGAGTGATCTTCTGAGCTCTCGCACTCTTTCGTGTGCGCCAAGCTTTTCCTGTTCAGCCTCATGGCTGAGCAAGCAAAGGCGCACGACCTCTCTCCGAGTGTGAGTGGCGACGACGGGGAGCCGAACCCACGCCGTCGAGCTCGTACTCCACCGCCCCCTCCACGCCAAAGTCCTAAGCGGGGGGAGGCACTCGAGAGGGTCGAAAGATCCGCGACTTCACCGATTGCGGGCGATGGAGAAAAACGGCGAGATGGGGAGCGTCGCCTCCTCGTCTACGGTGACGGCAGCACGCCCCAGGGCGCGCTCCAAGCTGCGGGCGCGCTCCTACGTCACCCGCCCGTCGCCCATGACCCGGAGTCTCCAGCCCAACGTTGGCTGGACGATGTGGCCAAATTGGTCATGACTGCACGACAGCGTCTAGATGCTGGTGGGCGGTCCTCCGCCACCAAGGCCTCTGGTGCTGCTACCACCGGCTCCGCGTCGTCAAGACGAAGGGCGCGGCGAGCGGCAGCTGCCGTTCGCCATTCGGCCACCACTCCTTCGTCGACTCCTTCGACCCGGGAAGATCTGCGTGGGGGGCCGGACGCCCGCACCAGCATCGAGCGGCGGCGTAATGACCGACGTGCTACCCACGCAACGGAGGGCGCTTCCTCGTCCAGAGTGTCACCTCAACACGGACGCGGGAATCAGCCCTCCGTGCCCCCGGTTGGTGGTGTCGGCTGTAGAGCCTTTGTGGCGAGTCTTCGGAATGTCCGTTGGCCCCCAAGGTTCCGGCCCACCATCGCCGAAAAATATGATGGCAGCGTCAACCCCGCCGAGTTTCTCCAGGTCTACACGATCGGGATTGAGGCCGCCGGGGGTGACGACAGGGTCATGGCGAATTTCTTTCCCATGGCCCTGAAGGGGCAGGCGCGGGGTTGGCTAATGAACTTGCCACCCGCGTCAGTCCACTCCTGGGAGGATTTGTGCCAACAGTTCACCATGAACTTTCAGGGCACATATCCGCGCCCAGGTGAAGAAGCGGACTTACACGCAGTACAGCGAAGGGATGATGAGTCACTTCGCTCGTACATTCAGCGGTTCTGTCAAGTCCGCAACACCATACCATGCATCCCTGCACATGCGGTAATCTACGCGTTCAGGGGGGGGCGTGCGGCACAACCGCATGCTCGAAAAGATCGCCTCCAAGGAGCCCCAGACTACCGCGGAGCTTTTTCAGCTCGCGGACCGAGTGGCTCGCAAGGAGGAGGCCTGGACTTGGAACCCCTCCGGTTCCGGTGTGGCAGCTTCGGCCGCCCCCGGATCCGCCGCTCAGATAGGGCGGCGTGACAGGAGGAGGAAGAAGAGGTCAGTCCATTCCGACGACGAGGGTCATGTCCTCGCCGTCGAGGGCGCTTCGCGGGCCACCCAAAAGGGGAGGCCTGCGAGCGACAAAAAGAAAAAGGCCGGCGCTCCCAGCAGGGAGCGCCCAGCCGGCAAGTGGTGCACCGTCCACAACACCTCCCTCCACGACCTCATGGACTGCCGTGCGGTCAAAAGTTTGGCTGAGCGGACGAGGAAGTGGGAGGAGGAGAGGAGGCAGGAGCGCCGAGAGGGCAAGTCCCCGGCGGTTCCTTCCGGCAATCGGCGAAGTGAGGCCAAGCAGAAGGCCCCCGCCGAGGACATCGATGACGGCGATGATGACCTAGGTTTCCAAGAGCCTGGGGCCACCATTGCCACTGTCGATGGGGGAGCGTGTGCTCACGTTTCTCGCCGGAGCCTCAAGGCCATGAAGCGAGAGCTTCTGGCCGCGGCCCCTACTCATGAGGCGACGCGCCGGGCGCGGTGGTCGGAGGTTGCCCTCACCTTCGACCAGACCGACCACCCACCGTGCGTTGCCCGGGGAGGACAGATCGCAATGGTGGTTTCCCCCACTGTTTGCATCGTGAAGCTGGGGCGTGTCCTCATTGATGGAGGAGCGGCCCTCAACATCCTTTCCCCCGCAGCCTTTGACGCTATCAAGGCCCCGGGGATGATGCTCCGGCCGTCCCAGCCGATTATCGGTGTGACGCCGGGGCACACGTGGCCGTTAGGTCACATCGACCTCCCGGTCACCTTCGGTGGACCCGCCAACTTCCGCACGGAGCGGGTGAACTTCGATGTGGCGGACCTCAGTCTGCCCTACAATGCGGTCCTGGGGAGGCCCGCGTTGGTGAAGTTCATGGCGGCGGTCCACTACGCCTACCTACAGATGAAGATGCCGGGCCCCGGTGGCCCCATCTCTGTCCATGGCGACCTCAAAGTCGCGCTCGCTTGTATGGAGCAGCGCGCGGACCGCCTCGCCGTCGTGTCCAAGCCCGAGGGTGGCGACGAGAGGCTTGGCACATCCGCCCCCGCCGCCCCGAGGCAGCGGATAGTCACGTGCGATGAGGTCCCGGTCAAGGAGGTTGCCCTGGGCGACGGCCCGTCCAAGACCACACGGATCAGTGGTCTTCTGGACGGCAAATAGGAAGACGCGCTCGTCTCTTTCCTGTGGGCAAACGCTGACGTCTTCGCATGGAGACCGGCGGATATGCCCGGGGTCCCCAGGGAGGTGATTGAGCACCGTCTCGCCGTACGGCCGGGCGCAAGGCCGGTCCGGCAGAAAGTGCGGCGGCAGGCCCCGGAACGTCAAGCCTTTATCCGCGAGGAGGTGGCGCGACTTCTGGAGGCCGGATTCATCCGCGAGGTCATCCATCCGGAATGGCTGGCGAACCCGGTGGTCGTTCCCAAGGCGAACGGCAAGCTTCGGATGTGCATCGACTACACCGACCTTAACAAGGCATGTCCTAAGGATCCTTACCCCCTGCCTCGCATAGATCAGATTGTCGACTCCACTGCGGGGTGCGACCTTTTGTGTTTTCTAGATGCATACTCTGGTTACCATCAGATTCGCATGGCTAGGGAGGATGAGGAAAAAACTGCGTTCATTACCCCCATAGGAACCTATTGTTATACGACAATGCCCTTCGGGTTAAAGAATGCAGGTCCTAC